CTCCTCACTTGCGCGAGCCTTAATGTCAACGGCCTTGGAGACTTAGGGAAACAAGGAAAGCTCACTCGTTGGCTTAAGGACGCGGGAGACATTGTAGCTTTAGCAGACACTAGAATACCTCCATCGCACACCTTCTGGTCTTCACCTAGTTTCACCACGGTAGCGGTAGCTCCTCGTAGGGCGAAGGCAGGCAGAGTTGCAATCATCTGCAAGAACCCGTCGCTTAGTTTCACAGACACCATAGTACACCCATCAGGACGTATCATACACACGGTAGTTAATGGTCCAGGTATTCAAGTCACGTTCCTTGCGGTTTACTTCCCATCAAGTCCCTCCGCTAGATCGCCTTTCATGCTCCACACCCTACGTCCTTTAGTAGATCAGGTACCGCCGAGTTCCCACCTGCTTATCATAGGGGATTTAAACATCATAGAAGATCCAGCTTTAGATAAGACGTCAGGAAAAGGTTCGTCCACTGAGAATGACCGACTTATCAACCATTGTAGCAAGTTCCAGGTATCCGACGCCTTCCGTACCTTATACCCAGGTTGTCGCGAGTACACTTTCTATGCAGCCTCTGCACAAGCGAGCTCTAGGATAGATCGAGCGCTAGTGTCAATGTCTCTTCTGCCATACCTCTTTGACGCAGTCCATATTTCGCCGAAGGAAAGGATCTCAGACCATGGTTTCGCGATCCAGGTAGCGCTGAAGGTTGATGACAAAGCCCAGATGGGTCCTGGGATGTGGAGGCTGCAGGCATCAATGTCGCAGCGGCCAGGAGTTAGACGCATCATTGAGGAGACGCTGCAGAACATTCATGTGTCGGATGGAAGGTCCTTCGAACTGCTCACCTCAAGACTCAGCGCGAGGTTAAGAGCATACACAAGGCAGGAGAGGAAGAGGGTGCATGCGACTTTTACGCATCTGGTGTCGGCAGTGGCAGCTCTAAGGCAGGAGGTGTTGGGTAACCCGCACTGCACCTGGCGGAAGGCGCTTCTGGATGAGAAGGAGGCGATGTTGAAGGAATATCTGGCATGGCAGTAGGACAGGCTGCATCTCATGGCTGGATTGGACTGGGAGCTCACAGGGGAAATATCGTCGAAGCGGTTGTCGGCGCTGGTCAAGGCAAGGAAGAACAGAACCCGTATAGCTGAAGTCAAGGTGGCTGGAACGGTGGTGTCAGACTCACAGAAGGTCCTGGTGGCAGCTTCGGACTTTTTCCGGGACATTTTTGGACGTGACAGGCGGCTGGATTTCAGGGAGCGGACTCCCACACCGGACAGAACCCTGCAGGAGGGGGATGTTGTTGGGTTGGACGCGGACTGGACTGAGGAGGAGGTGAAGGAGGCCTTCGCTTCAATGGCCAAGAACAAATCGCCGGGGAACGACGGGCTGCCGAAGGAGTTCTTCGAGGCCAACTGGGACCTGCTAGGCGGGAGTTTCATGGCTTTGGTTAAGGATTTCACTGCCACGGCGGAGCTGCCAGGGGAGGTCAAGGAGGCGGTGACCATTCTTCTGCACAAGAAAGGGGAAAAGGATCAGTTAAGCAATTACCGTCCAATAACCTTACTGACTTTCACCTACAAAATCATGGCCAAGGTGATTGCGGACAGAATCAAGAAGGTACTACACCGGGTGATATCGCCGGAATAGTATGGTTTCATCCCGGGCAGGAGGCTTGCTGATGGAGTAGCGTTGGTGGCTGACATCATCGACGCGGCAAAAAATGGCGGAGAAGACTGGTTCTTGCTTCTCGTGGACTTCCAGAAAGCCTTCGACTCGGTGTCGAGAGGCTTCATTTTCCACGTGCTTGACCGCATGGGCTTCCCTCCTCGACTGGTATCCTGGATCAAGGGTCTGCATTCAGGAACAACGACAAAAATGCTCATCAATGGCTGGCTGGGAGCTGGTATAGAAGTGGCGTCAGGGGTGCGGCAAGGCTGCCCCCTAGCCCCATCCCTGTTTCTTTGTGCGGTGGAACCGCTGGTGCAGAAGGTGGAACAGGAGCAGCTGGGGCTGGACATTGCTGGCCAACGCCTGGCATACATGGGCTATGCAGACGACACAACTTTGGCCCTGCAAGGGAAGGAGCAGATCGCAGAGGCGGAGATTATTTTGGACACGTTCGAACAACAGTCAGGACTGGCGGTGAACAAAGCGAAGATGGTTATCTTACCGTTGGGAGCTAACCTCGGGCGTGATGATGGAGGAGATTTCAAGTGGGCGAAGCCGAAAGATGCAGAGCGGCTGCTGGGGGTCTGGGTCACGCCAGATGGGAGTGGCCTGCCAACCTGGGAAAAGGCACTAGAGGAAATAAAAAAAAAGACTGGAGTTGTGGAGGCAGAAATTGCTCACGGAGAAAGCAAGGGGTTCGGTGGCAAATAGCTACATCCAACCGGTGATGGCGTTCCAGGCGCAAGTGTACCCGACGCCTGTGAAAGTATGGAGGGAATTGGAGAAGCTGATACATAACTTTGTCTCGGGGAACAAGGCAACACCGGACAGGGTGTTTTTACTCTGGAGCACGGAGCTGCTTTACACCCCGAGACAGGATGGCGGGCTGGGAGTTCACGACCCGAATATCACGCTCACATGCCTGGCTGCCAGGCGGGTAGGCCTGATGATGACGGAGACAAACCAACTCAAGCGGGAGCTGATGATGCGAGCGGCGGATCTTCCTTTAAAGTTGGACACCTTTACAGCGCATGATAAGCTTCTGCGACACTGGGAAGGAAGGAGTCAGCGATGGAAGCAGTCCTGCGAACTTTTTATGAAATCGCCCCTCAGCATCAGAACGGTGGAGGTGACAAGGGAGGAGATTGCGAGAGAGAGGCTCGTCTTTAATCGAGCAATCATGATGGGCGTAACTGCGCCGGTGGGAGGTAAGAAGCACGCAGAGCAACTATGGGACTGGGTGCTGGGTGATCTGGTGCTGCAGCAGCATGACGGCACTCGCGCGCTGAAAACCATGGCGGAGCTCACAGAGGAGCTTGGTGGGAAGGGCCCAGCTAGGCTAGCATTGAGAGCTTTCGCAGCTGCACCAACAGAATGGATGGAGGAGCTGCTGACCCCCTGCACGAACTCGGCTGGCTGGGACGACAGGACGGGCGGAACACCACTTCCGCGCATCCCAATCCTGGATGGAGGGGAGGTGATCTCACTGAAGCAGATGCGGGGGCATTGGAAGGGGAAACGCGCGCAGTCTCATCGAATGTTGAGATGGGCGGGCCGGTGGAGTGAATCAATTAACTGGAAAAAAAAATTGGGCATTCGGGAGTCGCTGGTCACCCCCGGCAGACCGAGGGATGTTCTCACGCGGGTGTACAATTTCAACCTCCAAGTGGGGGAGAGGCTAGCTTTTCTAAGCGACAAGCCTCTCTGCCTGCACTGCGGAGGCGAGGAGACACTGGAGCATTGCCTCTTCTCCTGCCCGAGGATCCAGAGCGTGATTAATGCGCTGAAGCGAGCCCTCCGCATGCTGAACCCGTCTCGTACCACGAGTTCGCTGGAGGACCTCCTTTTCCGCAAGGCGAGGACCCGGACAGCCTTCCTCGAGGCAACACTCATAGCGATAACTTTGCACCAGGTCTGGGTGGAGCGGTGCGACGCTGTTTTTCGTGAACGCAAGTTCCGGGCGCGCCGAGTCCTGAGGAAGATCCTGATGGCCTTTCGTCAGCATGCAAGGGTGTATGTGAACATGCACGCTCGACAGCGTGGCAAAAGCGGAAGAAATCGGCGCAGGCTGACAGCTTTCTAATGGGCCTATTGGAGGAGCGGCGGATGCTGAGCAGGATTCGGTTGGCGGACGATAAGAAGTGGACGTGGACGAAAGGATTTGAATCCATTTGGACCAATCCTAGGACAATTTATAACCCCCCGTAGAATCCTCGCTGGAGCAGACAGCCTCTGCTCACTCACGCTCGGTTACGACCGCTATTGTTAGTATGCGTTTATGTTCTGTGATGTATACTTTCAATAACATATATATATATATATATATATATACGGTCATATAAAGTTCCGATCATAATTTTCGGATAAATGAAACCGCACAATTACCTATATGATCGCCGATTTATATGCTCGAGCGCTTATTGGTTAAGAATTTGTTTGACCGAGCGCTCATTGGTCGCGCACTGGGCCGAAATTGAGCGCGCATGTACTATTGGTCGTGATTATTTGTCGGTTTCCTGTACAGTGAGTGGGCCACGTTCGCGCCCGCCCACTCTGGCGAAATTTTCGAGTGGGGAATAGTACGCAACACTTGCGCGGGATGAGACGAGTACGTGAGAGGACTTTCGGGGCTAAATTCCTTGTAGGGTAATGTGCCGGGAACAAATAACACCTCGAAAATCCCCCGGCGTGGCCACTCGAGCAATTATCACTGAATTTGATGGCCACACGAGCAATTCGGGGACACGTGGGCAAGAGCGAATCACCAAACAAGGCCCTGGAGCAATTCTCTCAAAGTTCTTGGTAAATCCCCACGACAGTTTCGCCTGGGCGAAGGAATGCTTTGCCAGCTCAATCTGTTATATAGTAACACGTCGTGTAACAAGGCCCTGATTGGACTGCCCGTGAGTGCGCTGGCGCGAGGATACTGTTACGAATCGTTTTGTAGGTTGCAGATTAATTGAACCAGTCGTTACAAAAAAATACCTGACTGTGCGGTACTGTACCGTGAAGCTTATGCTCTTCACCGAAATAAACCGCACAAAACATGGCTCGTCAACCAAGCTATCCCAGCCAAACCCCATCGAATCTTGCACTTCCATCTTGTGCTGAGAAGATAGCAGTTTTGACTGCCAAATACCTCTCTGACAGCCGCGACTCGTACGTGTGGACTCGCGCTGACGATTTTCGACATTGAAGACGTGCTCGACCTTCACCTCTTTGCACAACAGACTGCAACTCACCCCTGCAGCTCTTAAGTCAGCTGCTTTCGCCATTTTTATTCCGCAACTTCCACTGCTTCCGCCATTTCCGCCGCGTCTGCCGGCATGATGCCGGGCATTTCCGCTCTCTCGGAGAGCGGAATCGACGTGGAGGGCCTGACTCCGGAGCAGCTGCGCATGCTCGCCGTCGACATGCGCGACGCGGCGCTCACGGAGGGCGCGGAGGACGACGCGGAGCAGGCGGACCGCGCCCTCGCGTCGTTCGTTAAGACCAGCACGCTTGAAGCCGCCAGCATGCTAGCTAACAGACGCACCACTGCCGCGGGGAAAACAGTAGGCGGAGGGGGAAGGACAGGCGGAAAGGGTGACGGAGCAGCAGCAGCCGCGGCATCAGCTGCTGCGGCGGACCCTCCGTTACCGGTTTCAGCAACAAGCCCATCCTCTAACCCGGCAGGCGATGTTGCTGTTGCATCTCCGTCCAAGCCTGCAGCAGCCAGGGTACTCGGTAAAACCGCCTCGGGTCATGGCAGCAGCAGCAGCAGCAGCGGCGGCGGCGGGACCACCACCACGAGCGCCGGCAACGCTAGCAGCGCGAGCAGCGCGAGCGGAAGTAACAGCGGGTCGTTCCGGGAGCGATTGGGCCTCGGCGGGCTCCAAATTGCTGTGCCGGCTGATGACGCCCTCGCTGCTGCCGCTACAGCCGCTACAGCCGCTACAGCCGCCGATGCAGCTGCAGCGAGTTTGGTGTCGCCGGGTCGTGGCGCTGCTCGCGCTGCCGGCAGCAGCAGGAGCACGGGGACGGCAGCAGTGGGTGCAGGAGGGTCGGCGTCCTTGCACGGGCTGCCGTGCTACATTCACTTCGCCAACCACCGCGTGCGTGCCCCACACTCACCTGCTATAAACACGCCCCTGCTGACACAATCGCAGGGACCTAATTTCTGTAGCTACTGTCATATCTGTGACTGCGCCCAACCTCCCTTTCAGCCTGTCGCCTCTGTTTCTCCCACTTCTATTCCCCACTCCCATAGCTCCTCTCCACCCTCCCCTCTCCCCTCTCCCCTCTCCCCTCTCCCTTCTCCGCTCTCCCGTCTCCCCACTCCCTTCTCCCTCTCTCCACACGTGTCCCCAACCCGTCCCCGCCAAACAACAGGTAGCAGCGACCATAACGCTCTCGCCGGCCTGCATTGACTTCGGCATAGCGCCCTTCCGCATCCGCCGCACCAACTTTGTCGACCTCTGGCGCGTGCCCGAGCGCCCCGTGCTCGTCACCACGCCCCGCACGCCCAAGACCCGTGCTGCCGCCGCTAAGGGGGGTGGGGTTGGTAAGCGGCCGAGTAAATCCGCTTCTTCCACTCCTCGCACCCCCAACAAGAATGTGTTTTCGAAATTGGATTTTCCGGGGTCGACCCAGCCAGCCATAGATGCTTCTGCTGCCGGAGGGGGAGGAGGAGCAGGAGAGGAAGGAGTGCTACTAGCGCCTGTGGGAGCAGCATCAGATGTGAAATCCGACGACGGATTACATGCCTCTCCAAATCACAACCTCACTGCTGCTGGTGCACCTGATGCTGATGCTGGCGTTGATGGTAAGGGCGATGCGGTGAGTGAGGGTGGTGGTGGTGGTGCTGTGAGCACGCTGTGTGCGCCTGTGGTGGTGCAGCCTCGCTACTCCACTGTGATCTCCCCGGAAGAATCTCCCCGTGCTGCTGCTCCCTCCAAGCACAGGCCACAGCAGCCGCAGCAGCAGCAGCAGCATAAGTCGGAAGCAAGCGCAGATGAAAACACTGCCACGCATCCATTTTCTGTGGTGGGCGGTGGGGAAACCGAAGTTGATCCTTTGCTAGGTGCAGCAGCAGCAGCATTAGCAGCTGCAACAGGGACCAGCGCAGGAGCACCTGAACGCCCTGGGGAAGAACAAGGGACTGGACCTCAGCAAGTGCAGCAGCAACAGCAGGATGAAAGGAGTAAGCATGCGATGGTTCCGTTGAGTGTTGAGGATGTGGCAGCAGTTGAGCTTGGGCTGGAAACATGGGAGGTGGTGCTCCTAGAGAGGGAGGAGGAGAGGAAACTGATAGCTGCAGCAGCAGCCGCCGCCGCAGCGGCAGCGGCAGCAGCAGCGGCAGGAGGAGGCGTGGGTGGTGTGGCAGAGACAGAGAAGGGGAGTGAGGTGGTAGAGGGCAGTCGGGATATCTGCATGACCCCGCCTGGTACTGGCAAGCGAACCAGAAGCTTCCAGTTTGAGACGTCCATTGCAGGGTGCGTGCGTGCCTGCGTGCGTGCATGCCTGCCTGCCTGCCTGCCTGCCTTCTTGCCTGTCGCTGTGTTGTCATGCACAACACGCCGTCAGTCGCTGTTGCTGCTGCTACTGTTGTCGTTTCTTCGGATATAATATCTATCCAGAAAAGTACTCTCTTCCTTCTTGTCTGTTTCTGTCTTGTCTTTTTGCCTCTGCGAACCCCTTCCCTGCATCTTTCCCCTGATCAGTCAACCTCTTATCTTCCATCCTGCCTAAAGTCCAGACATAATACCACAAACAGTTGCAACGCATCTCAATTCCACCTGAATTCCATTTTTCTTCCGGCCATCATACTTCCGGCCATGTTCTTCCCTTTGTGTTTCACCCTGTAGCTACGATGCTATTCGAGCCATCATTGACGGGTGGACGCAGGGAGCAGAGGACCCTGCAGCTGCAGCAGCGCAGGAAGCCGAACTCAGCGACATTCGCTCTGCTGCTGCCACCGCCGCTGCCGCTGCTGCTGGTGGTGCTGGCGGCAGCAAGGTAGGTGCTGCAGCAGCAGCGCTCAGTCCACGTGAGTTAGCAGAGGGCACTGGGAGGCACAGCATCAGCTGCGATGGCGACACCTCGTCTGCCTTCTCAGACTATACAGAGGCCGATGAGAGGCGGCGCCTGCTCACCAACCCGTTCCACTCCACCACCGACTCATCAGCAACAGACCCCCCTGCTGCCGCACCCGGTGGGGCTGACTCAGAAGCATCTGTTGCTACTGCTGGTGCGGGTGCTGGTTCTGCACGGATTGCTGCCCCTGTAGGTTCCTCCACCACCCACACTGGCGTGTCGCCCACCTATGGTGTATCCACGGGGGACATACCAGCCGCAGGGCTCATGTCGTGGTCGTCTGCACTGCGCAGTGTGGTTCCCCGCAGCAGAACGTCCTTTGATGCTACCTATGTGCGTATGGAGCCTCTGACGGCTGGAGGAGGAGGGGGAGGAGGGGGGGGTGCGGGAGGTGAGGGGGATGGCGCTCGCCCACGTTCTGCTGCGTCTGGTGGAGGAGCAGGGTTTGTTCGCAGCAGCAGCGTGACAGGGCCTGGAGAGAACAAGGGTTAGGGATGCGAGTGCTTACAATCGTCGTCTGCTGTTTTGTGCCATGTATTTTGAAGTGACCCACTGTTTTCACCTATTGACCACTTTCGTCTGGGTTGGGTTGTTGTATAGTGAGTGACAGATCCTGTTTGCTGGCTTGGTTGTGGTTGCAACGTCTTTTTCTTAAGCAAGGTAATGGCCGGATGTTGTAGTTAGTTTGTTTTAGTCTCTTAGGGTTCGGTTGTCTTTCATGTAGAGTTTGAAGAACAAACAATGTGGTAGTATGCACTTTTTTAAATAAATTTCACACATGTTTACGCATTTTACAAGTGAGTGTACGACACACGTTACATGCAAAATGAGTTCCCAAGGGTGACGTCGTCGTGTCCGGTTTCGGTTCCTTCATCAGACCCCAACCGTTTCCCCTGCCAACCCTCTCACTGCACTGGCAGGCTGCCAGCGAGCAGCATCCCTCCCATCTCATCTCATGACCAGCCAGCAGCATTCGATTCGATGTGGTGCCATAGCCCATGGCCTGCCTGGTGAACTGAACCGGACCGGAGCAGTTGAAATTCCTCCAGCCGGACTCCACGCACTCTCACACAACACACACGCATACTGGCTCGGTGTTGTGTTCACGCGAATCTTAGAAGACTAGACCGCCACTCCCTCAGCGTTTATTGTCGAGCACACGTCCTCATTCTGCTTTAGTTATACCGTTTAGTTCTCTACGTTCTTAACCCGTCTTGCGCTTTCAAACTCGTATTTTTCGATGTCATGGGCAGAGTGAAGGTGCTAGTATTAGGCGCGAGGAACCGAGAGCGATGAGCACAACCTAAATTGACCTTGAGCACGATCCGTGCTGGAGAGGCAAGAGATATCTCCGTGCTAGAATTCTCGACCGTCAGATCGAATCAGGCGTCTTGCCTTTTCTTTTCGGAAAAGCCCAAGTAAGTGTTTCTACATTGGTAGGAACCGCTCGCGGTGGTCTTTACTTCTGCGCGTTGCTTTGAAAGGAATTCGCTATCCAACAGTTGTCCAGGAGCCGCCGTATGAAGCATCGAAGCCAAGCTCTTTTCCCTTTTCAAGTAACCAAAGAGACAGGGACAGGAATTGTGACAAGGATTTAGCACGGGAAAGCAGTGGAATTTCGAAAGAAAGAAAGAAAAAAAAACGGCGTCCTCTCAGCTATTGAAGGGGGAGAATCGTAAGCTCAGAGGATGCGGCCAGTGAATGGTCAGTCAGACGAGGCAGCAGCAGCAACCGCAGCAGCCACGGCAGCAGCTGGGTGGGTCGATCCAACGGTCACTGGTGCGGATCGCTTGGATGGAGTCCTGGAGCACCGGTGGGGGTCGTCTAAGGCCGCGGTACCGACGACATCGAGCCAGCAGAACGCTGCGGATGCGGATCGTACGCACCTGCGAAGGTGCGTGCTATATCCGTGCGACTTTAGTCGGTTACGGAGTGGGTGGAGAGGGCTGGGAGGGAAGGGAGGAGGGAGAAGGGGTGAAGCAAGGGTTTGTGGAGGAAGTATTAGAGGTAGTGAGGAAGCTTGCTTGATGTGTATGTTGTTTCGCGACTTGGCTTTTTGTCAAATTGGTCCTGAGCGCTGTGGGTTTCGTCACCTGCCTACCCTTGTGTGTCCGTTTCCCTCAGCCTTTTTTTTGTCACCGTCTTTCCGCACCTGTCACCCCCCGCCGAGATTGCTCCCCACTTCGCCACTCCCGCTCATTCCCGCTCTCCCCGCCGTCGATTCACCAGCCCGCAACTTTCCCCTCCCCCCTGCGCCCGATCGCATTTTTTCGTGATCGTGTATCTGCCCGTGTTCCCGTCGCTGCGGTCGTCCCTTTCTCTCCCGACAGGCGAACGCGCAACGTGCAGCAGCTCCTGGCTCTGCGCGAGTGTTGCCCCGTCGTCCGCCGCGCGCCCTGCAGCCCCTGGACCGACTCTCCGCGCACGCTGCCGCGGCCTGGCGGGACCGGCGCTACGAGCGGCAGGGGGGGCGGAGGTAGAGGCGGAGGTGGAGGCGGCGGCGATAAGGGGGGTGGGCTCCGTGGGGGGGGAGCAGGGGGCTTAGGACGGGGTTCGGCGGAGGCAGAGGCGGAGCTTGCTGCTAGGGCTGATACTGGCAAAGGAGCTGAACGGCAGGGCGAGGAAGGGGCAGATGGCGTAGGTGCAGCAGCGGGTAGTGCGGGCGGGAGAGGTGGCAGCAGTCGGGTGAACGCTGCTGTTATGCTGGCCCACTGGTGAGAAAGTCATGGGAAGGCCGTGCCTCGCTTGTGCTTTTCCCGTGCGCTGCTTGCGCCTCTTCGTATCCCCAACTTCCCATTTTCGTATCTGCGGTTATCCATGTCAGGGTGGAGCGAGACTCTCTCATCCGCTACTCGGCGCAGTACTGCCCTCTGCACCCTGCCCCGCGCTCCACCATCGCCGCCGCTTTCAGCAGCGATGGCGCCTCCCTGGCCTCCACACAGTAAGCTCCTCCGTGCAAGAGTGTTGTCCCATTCATCCACCCCACCTTCACCATTGTATTCTTGACGGGCGCTCCTCATTCGCTGACGCACTCCAGTTTCTCTTGAATCTCATTCCAGTTTCAACACCTCTCCCTTCCTGCACGCACCCCTCCCCACCGCACCAAACCAGTGGCGACCACACGGTGAAGATCATCAGCTGTGCTACCAGCAAGTGTCTGCGCACGCTCACAGGCCACCGCCGCACGCCCTGGGTGGTATGCTTCATGCCCCCGCGCCCATGCCCCCGCGCCCATGCCCCCGCGCCCATGCCCCCGCGCCCATGCCCTCGCGCCCTTGCACCACCACCCACCCTCGCCCATGCACCGCCGCCCTTCCACCCTCGGCCGTGATCCCCCCACCATGCACCCTCTCTCGCTCTTGCACCCGTACCCTGGTCGTTGTAGGTCTGCTTCAGCACCTTTGCTTTCCTTTTTTGCCTTCACATTTTTTCAAAACTGGAAGAATCATTCCTTGCCATGCCATGCTGCGCCCGTGCAATGTGCCTCTTCATGCCATATCACGCCATGCCACGCCACGACATGGCATCTGAGCAGGTGAGGTACCATCCGCGCACAGCGCATGTGGTGGCGAGTGGCAGTCTGGACCACGAGGTGCGCCTGTGGGACACCGACACTGCCCACTGCATCGCCTTCCACCCCTTCTGTACGTGCCGTCCACCCTGCCTGCACTCCCACTTGTGTTTGCCCTGGCGCCTCCACTCCCACTCCTGCTCCCGCTTCTACTCCCACTCCCACTCCCACTCCCACTCCCGCTCCCGCTCCCTCTCCCGCTCCCACTCCCTTCCGCGCACGTGTCTGCACACTCATGCCCTGCATTTGCTGACGCTGTCCTCCCCTTACACTTGCCCCTCTTGCTTGCCTTGTCGTCACTTAGCTCTCTCCTGCTACCTACGTCCCTCCCCATCCTCTACCCTCTCCCGTTGCTATCCTCATGTCGTTCCATGCAAACGTTCTCTTGCCACGAGTTGCAATCCTCTGCCTCATGCGCAACACAACCATTCACAGCACAACAGCTGCACGATTCCCTCTTATCCCCTGCACATCCCCCCCCGATCCTACCCCCACTGGCCACTTGTGCACCCCCCTGCGCTTCCCCCCATTGTCCACCCTTGTGTGTGTGTCAGATCGCCCCATTGCATCGCTCGCCTTCCATGCATCTGGGGACCTGCTTGCAGTGGCGTCCGGCCACAAGGTGCGTCCTGCAGCTATTACCTGTGCATGCAGCTGGCAGTACATGCGTGCAGGCAAGGCCGTCTGTTGCAGCACCTGATTTTGTGTCACCCTCTTTTCCTGCCTGCTCTCTCTGTGCTGCGTGTGCTGTGTGTACGTGTCTGTCTGTGTGCTCTCCGTGTCTATCCCTGCAGCTGTACATATGGCAGTACACGCGCTCAGGCGAGGCAGCACAGCCGTGTGTGGTGCTGCGCACGCGCAGGTCACTGCGAGCCGTGCACTTCCACCCGCACGGCGCGCCTCTGCTACTCACCGCGGAGGTGCACCTCCTGCACTGCTGCCTCTCCCCCTCTCCTCCCCTCCCCTCTCCTTTCCTCTTCGTTCCTCGCCTCTTCTCCCTCCTCTCAATATTCGCACACCTCTTGCTTTAAACCTCTCCCTCTGATTGTGTCGTCTCGCCTCTTGCTCTCTCTCTCCATCGCTGGTCCCCGTCTCAACCCTTCGCACCCTTCCCCCCTGCCTCCCGTCATGTCACCCCCTCCCTCACTCCCCTTTTTATTCCCTCCCATTTTGCTCGACCTCCCTTCACATATCCTCTCCTGCTCTCCTCCCCCTCCTCCTCTCCCCGTCCTACCCCACTCCCCCCCCCCCGCCCCCTCTTCTCCTCCTTCTGCCCGTCAGGTGAACGATCTAGACTCAGCGGACTGCACGCCCACGGAGGCACTCTCATCGGGCTATGTGCACTACCCGCCGCCCTCCTTCCACTTCAACCCCGCCGCTGCTGACACCACCCTCGCCGCCTCCGCGGCCACTGCGGGGGTGACTCTCCCCGCCACGCCCCCCTTCCCCCTCGCTCAATGGCAAAGCTGGTTCTGGATGGCGGGCGCAGGGGAAGGGGGCGCGGGCGGGGCGGGGGGCGGGGCTGGGGGCGGGGGTGGGGGAGGGGCAAGAGGGAGGGGAGCGGGAGAGGCAGGAGGAGGTGGGCTGGGTGCGGAACCTGCGGGGGCAGCAGTGGGGGCGTTGGGGAGGGCACGAGGGACGGAGGGAAGTGGAAGGGGAGGGACGGGCGGGAATGTGAGTGCGGTACAGGTGAATGGGGATGATGCAGGAAGGCCTGGTGCAGGTGATGGAAGTGGTGCTTCAGGGGAAGGGGGGGAGCAGGGTGGAAGGAGGGGAGACGGTGTAGGGAGAGGGAGGAGGGAGGAGATAGTGGGGGAGGCGCGTGGGAGTGGGTGGCGTGGTAGTGCTGCTGAGGGCAGGGATGAGGCTGAGGCTGCTGACGTGGCTGCGAACGTGGCAGCTGACGTGGCTGCTGATGTGGCGGAGAGAGGAAGCGCAAGGGATGTGGATTCTGTGAGCGTTGTAAGGGAGGAAGTGGCGGGAGAGGCCGTTGCTGGTGAGGATACTGCGGGAATGGATGCACGGGGGCAGAGGAATCGGGAACAGCTAAGGGGAAGTAACAGGGAAGAAGGTGGGGAGGAGATTGGAGGAGGAAGTGGAGCAGTGGATGGGGAGGGTAGGGAGCGAGGGGTTGGGAGGGTGAGTGGGGACGGGGAGCATGAAGCAGTCAGTGAGGGTGGGGCATTAGTAGGTGGTAGGTCGGAATCTGCTGATCCTGCTGCTGTTGCTGGTGTAACAGTAGCGCACAATCAAGCAGTCACGGCATCAGCAGGGGCAGAAGCGGCAGCAGGGGCAGAAGCGGCAGCAGGGGCAGAAGCGGCAGCAGGGGCAGCACTGGATCAAGCAGCGGATGCTGCAGTGGATACTGCAGCAGATACCACTACAGTGGGTGCAGCAGCTGATACAGTGGCAGGTACAGCAACCAATGCAGCAGCAGAAGAAGCAGCAGCAGCGAGGGGCGTGGATGCAGCATGTGAGGCAGTGACAGAGGGCATGTGTGCTGTGTGCTTGCGTGGGTCGCATGCTGATGCTGCTCATGCTGATGCTGCTCATGCTGATGCTGCTCATGCTGATGCTGCTCATGCTCATCCTGTTGCACAAGCTTCTCATGCTGCTCATGCCCCGGCAACGGGACTAGAGGAGGCTGAAGGAGGCTTTAGGCCGAGCGCGCAGGAGGGGAGGGTGGATGAGGTGAGGCAGTATGGCACGGTGCCTGGAAGTGAACGGGGGGAGCAGCAGAGGGGGAGTGATGGTGCTGATGGTAATGGTGTTGGTGGCGATGCTGCTGCTGCTGCTGCTGGTGGTGGTGGTGGAGAGGGAGAAGTGGGCAACACAGCAGGTGATACGCGTTTGATCACAGAAACTGGGGGCGATAGTGCTGGTGCAGCTCGGGATGTGGAACGTGCACAGGCAGAGGACGGACAGGAGGTTATGGCGGTGCAGCAGCAGCAGCAGCAGCAGCAGCTGCCACCGCCACAGCAGCGGCAAGCACAGCCGCTGCAGGTGCAACAGCCGCCGCAGCAGCAGCAACAAGCACAGCCGCCGCCGCCGCAGCAGCAGCAGCATCAAGCTCAGCAGGCCCAGGCACAGCAGGCACAGCCCCAGGCGCAGCCGCAGGCGCAGCCGCAGCAGGTGCAGCGGTTTCCCCTGGCGCAGCTGCAGCACCCGCTGCTGCAGGCGAGTCAGCCGACGCCCGAGATCCCGTGCACGGTGAAGCTCAAGGTGTGGCGGCACCACATCAGCCGCCCCAGCAGCCCCCTCGACCCTGAAAGCTGCCGCCTCACTGTCCCGCACGCCGTGCTCTGCAGGTATGTGCGTGGCCGTGGGCGTGGGCGTGGGCGTGGGCGTGGGCGTATGTGTGGGGGAGACTGTGTTGGTTTGTGGGGGGTGCGTGGGCCTCCTGTGGATCTGTGAGTGAAGGTGGAATTGGTAGTGCATGAATGTGGGTCTTCTCGGCTCTGCCTCTACCATTTTCCTGTCCCTCTGTCCCCGGCGTTTCGTTTCAACCTCTTCTTTCTCCCCCTTCGCCCCTCTCCCTTTCGCACCGCTTCCTTGTCACCCCTCCCCACCCGCACGCCCCCACCCCCGTCTCACATTCAAGCCTCCCTCCCTCCCTCCCTCCCTTCCTCCCACCATCTCCCAGTGAAATGGGTGCACACTTCTCTCCCTGTGGCCGCTACCTTGCCGCCTGTGTTGCCTGCGTGCCGCCTGCTGCTGCCGCTGCAGCTGCCGCCGCCACTGCTGCTCGCTCCTCCACCACCAACCAGCACCCCTCCTCCCATGCTCGACCCACCAACGCCCCTGCCACTGCCACTGCCACAACCACAGCCGCTGCCGCTGCAGCAGTCGCTGCTTCTGCCGCCGCCGCGGCCACCACTGCCGCTCGTGCGACTTCTGTGCATGGTCGCAGTGGGATGCAAGGCCGGGGGTTTGGAGCAGCAGCGTCGGAACCAGCAGGAGCGACAGGGACGGCAGGACTGGCAGGAGGAGAAGGAGGGGCGGTAGGAGGTGACAGTGGGGCGGTTGTAGCAGGGGGGGGAGCAGCGGTAGCAGCAGGGGCGGCGGGTGGTGATGGTGCGGTGCATAGCAACAGCTCAGTGGCTGCTCGAATGTCTCCAGGGGAACGACGGCGCAGCCCCTCCCCTCTGGAAGTGAACTCTGGCTGGCAGCACGGGCAGGCGCACGGGCAGGCGCACGGGCAGGCGCAGGGGCAGGGGGACACGCGCATTGTGGGGACGGACGGTGCTGCTGCTGCTGCTAATGTGGGTGCTGGTGGTGGTGTTGAAGCTGAGGTGCCATCAGGTGCTGCTGGGGTAGTGGCAGCAGGGGTGGCAGCAGAAGCAGCAGAAGCAGCAGAAGCAGCAGATGGGGCAGGGATTCAGGAGGCTTCAACCACTGCTGTTGCCGCAACTGCTGCCACTGCTGCTACTGCTTCTGCTGTTGATGCACCTGCTGCCAACGCTAATGAGAGTGCTGCTGGTGCTGCTGGTGCTGCTGGTGGCAGAAGCAGGGACATGAGCAATGGAAGGGGAGCAACTGGAGGGGCAGGAGGGGGGATTGGAGCAGGGCTAGCAGGGGTGAGTGGGGCGGTGGGTTTGGCCGTGGGGGGGGGAATGGGAGCTGTTACCACTGCCACGTCTCGACTCGCAGCCTGGGTGACGGGTAGAGGGGCTGCAGCTGCCGCCGCTGCTGCTGCTGCTGCTGCTGCTTCTGCTGCTTCTGCTGGCGCCGGCACTGCTGGGAACACAGCAGCAGTGGGCGGGAGGATGGAGGGACCATCTGTTACTGCGGCAGCAGGGGGAAACGACCTGGATGCCCGGGGGGCAACTGGGGGAGGCGCAGCTGCGCAAGGAAGCAGGGGGGGGGCAGTGGGCGGGGGGGGATCAGGGGGAGTGGGGGACAATGCAATACGGCGGTCAAGAGGAGGCACAGACGCAGGGGCTAGTGGAGCTGGCGGGAATTTGGAGCAAGACGGGGCAGGGGGAAGGGGAGGGGGAGGGGCGGGAGCAGGGGGGGGTCGTGGTGGGGGCAGTGGAGGGGCGGGCAGCAGCAGCAGCAATGCGGCAGTGGCACACCAGGTCATCTATGAGCTCAGGGTCTACTCCCTGGAGGATGCCACGTACGTTGCCTCCCCTCCTGGCCCCGGCTCCTTGGCCTTGTCCGTTTCTCCCCACGCTTCTCTACAGCATAGCTTCCCTCTTCCTTCCCCTCCCTTCTTTCCCTGTAATTCCTTTTCTAGGCGCCTTAAATGCCGACTCCTTAACCTAATTTCCTTTTCTCCCCACGCTCTGCTGCACTTCATTGCTCTTTCTCTCCCTTCTTTCCCCGTTATGCCTGTGCGTCAATGGTTTCCTCGTCTGTTCCCATTCCTTGGTTTGTCCTTGTGCTTACTGTTTGTTTTGCAATCGGATCGCATGTTTTCCTGTTCCCTGCTTCGAGTATCCATGCGCTGTAATGGGGGTAATCTAGTTATTGTTTTTATCCCCCTGTCTCTGCCCCTGCTTCTGTGCGTCCCCCTGTCCCTGCCCCTGTCCCTGCCCCTGTCCCTGCCACACCTGCCATCTCCACCTGCAGCTTCGGGCAAGTCCTTGCATGTCGGGCCATACGAGCAGCACATTGCCTCACATCCATCCAGGTAACCAACGGCCTGCCCCACACCACACCCACCGCCACCGCCCCATCCACCCAAGTCAAAACTGCCATTCACTTGCCTGCCACTCAATCCACCACACTCCTTCCGTGTTCCTTTACCGCCATCCAGTGTCCCCTCCCGTTTTCATTCCCATTCCCACTCCCATTCCGATTCCCATCCCTGTTCCCATTCCCCATCCCAATTCCCATTCCCCATCCCAATTCCCATTCCCACTCCCACTCTCATCCCATTCCCATTTTTTTCCCGATCCCGCTCCCATCCCAATGCTCCCTCCCGTCTCCACTGCCCTCATTCCCATTCCCTTCGCAACCCCACGCCATCCCCCCTGCCATGGCCCCACCACGTATCCCCGCACTGCATCCGCCTGCGCACCACAGTTCTCCCCCACGTCGTGCCATCTGCTGCTGGCGTACGGGCGCCGCCACGGCTCGCTGCTGCGCAGTCTCGTGGCCGATGGGGCCTCCATCGTCCCCGTCTACACCATCCTCGAGGTCACTTCACTGCCCCCTCTCTCCCCTTCCCATTCCTTCCATGTCCTGCCCTGCCCCCGTTGTGCGGCTTCTGTTAGTTAGCAGCAGTCAGCTGTCAGGTCAGGTCAGTGCTGTTCGAGCTGCTCTTGCTCTCTGCTGTTGCTCTCTGCTTGTCTTCTGCTGCTCATGCATGCAATGGGCATGGCGATGCTGTCTTTCCATGCATGCAGTGCATTGTGGCTGCCTGTGTGCCTGCGTGCTTGTGTGCGTGTGTCTGCTTGGCTTGCTTATCAACTTTCTTAATGACTGTGACTTTTGTACTCCGTGCTCGGTGTTTATGGGTGTCTGTGCACGGTGCATGGGTGCATGGGTGCATGGGTGGATCTTTGGGTGCGTGGGTGCATGGGTGCATGGGTGCATGAGTGTGTGGTGCATGGGTGCATGAGTGTGTGGTGCATGGGTGCATGGGTGCATGAGTGTTTGGTGCATGGGTGCATGAGTGTGTGGTGTATGGGTGCATGAGTGTTTGGTGCATGGGTGCATGAGTGTTTGGTGCATGGGTGCATGAGTGTTTGGTGCATGGGTGCATGAGTGTTTGGTGCGTGGGTGCATGGTGCATGCAGGTGTATCGAGTCTCTGACATGTCACTAGTGCAAATTCTTGCCAGTGCGGAAGATGAGGTCAGTCACCCCATCATGCCCGCCTACCCCTCTCCTTACCTCTATCTTCGCGCCTCTCTCTCGCACTCTTTCAGCCCTCATCCGTTTCCCCCTTCCCTTCTTCTTTGTACTCAAAAGTGTACTTCACTCTTGCAAGCAGCTTCTCTTTGCGAGCCTCTTTCCAGCGTCACTGCCTATGCTACTTCTCTCCACACCATTTCCTAGGCTGTGCGCTTCACTTCACGTTTTCCCTTTGTTCCTCTCCGTCTCGATGTAAGCTGTTTGGCGTTCCGTTGCCAAGCTACCATTTCTGCACCCTCCCTGCATTCCTCCCTGCATTCCTCCCTGCATTCCTCCCTGCATTCCTCCCTGCATTCCTCCCTGCATTCCTCCCTGCATTCCTCCCTGCATTCCTCCCTGCATTCCTCCCTGCATTCCTCCCTGCATGCCTGCCTGTCCACCCACACAGGTCAACGTGGCTTGTTTCCATCCTAAAGTCGGTGGGGGGCTGGTCTACGGCACCAAGGTATCCTCTCAACACCCTCGCACTCTGCTCGCGTTTTCCTCGTGTTCCTCTTACACCCCTCTCTCTCTCTCTCTCTCATGATTTCCGCGCCTCTCCCGGCCTCCTCAGTTCTCGTTGCGTCATGGCACACAGCCCTCACGCACTGCGCTGCCTTAAAACTCCCTAAAACCAACCAGGCATGCTGCTCATGGGCGTACACATAACTCGTATTTATACAGCCCTTCTCTGCGCCTGCACTACGTGCATAACGGTCTGCACACTACGTTTCTTCTCGTCTGCATCTACTTATCCGAGCTACCGCCCCATTTCTCCTCCTCTCACCCTTTTTCCCTCCTCTTCTCTTCCCATGCTTCCTCTCTCCTCTTTCCCCTTCCCTTTTCCTGTTCTCCACTACCCTTGTCCCCTCACCCCTTTTCCTCTTCCCCCCTGGCCCCCCGGTGCAGGAGGGCAAGCTGCGAGTGTTACAGCATAACCGTGCCGTGCCTCTCCATCTGCCGCTTGGCATTGCAGAAGACACCTCCTTTGTACGCTTCCAATCTTACCCACCAATTCACTTTCCATTCGCTTGCCTGTGCCTTCAAGCACACGCCCTATTGTTAATGTGCCCCATTCAGTTCCCACGCCGGTTCCTCCCACCCCGCTGTCCCCATCCCTGTCCAGCCTTTTTTCACTCAAGCCATTGTCCAGGCTTTTTCACACCCTTCCCCATCCGCTTTGTGACAGGCACACCATGCTTGCATTGACACCCATGTTTTCCCACTTTCCTCCTGACACCAGGGTGAGGAGCAGGAGAACCCTCAGCAGCCGCAGCCACCCACCCGGAGATTCCCCATCTTCTGAGCAGCAGCATCCACACAATTCCTTCTTTTGCACCTCGAATTTTCTTCGACATCAACACTCCACGCACCAACATTCTACCATGCACCAATGCTCCTCTGGGCAGCATGCCTGGACGTCCACCCTACCGCACCATAACCCCACCCACCCCGTGTTTTCCTGGGCTCGCCCTCTCCTCCTGCGTGCTGTGGTGTGCTTCATCCCGTCCACCACATGCCATGCCATACCATGCCATGCATGCCACGGTATGGTATGCCACCACACACACGCTTCTACAGCACGAATGGTATTCCACTGCTATCAGGCTGGCAGTAGAGTCTGAGAAAGTCGGGTGCTATGATCACAGGGGCCTGAGGGCCTTGCTGTGCATCTGGCATGCCTTGGTGGTTCATTGCTCCAGTGCAATGCATGGGTACTGTTTCTAGGCATTCGCTTGAAATGTGGCTGGGTCCTGTGCTGTGCTGGTACGGTCCCAGTCTGATCTTATAAACATGTACTATCATGTGACCATCACAGGGATCATTTGTGGGATAAAGAGGGTTCCAGTACCTCTGTTCTTTCTGCTGCCAGTTGTGGAACTGGTGTCACCTTGCCTCACTCAATTAGCATCTGTGCTCTCCATAATTGGGTAGATGGCTGGAAGGACTGAAATGTGAACAGCAAACCGTAAGCACCTTACGAAGTTACTAAGCAGCTTAGCAGATTACCAAGACATAGATTATGAAAGCCCAAACAACTAGCATATTTACAGCAACAGACGGAATGGAACCTAGCGCTGAGCAGCAGGGAACATCCGGAGCACCAGTGATTATCCAAACACCCCCTCCATCATCCTGGTAAACTCGCCGAAGTCGACTAAGCCATCCCCGTTAGAGTCGACCCGCGCGATCATGCGCTTGCAATCCTCGACAGACAGAGTCTCTCCGCTAAGGTCCCGTATGGCCTGCTGAAGCTCCTCCGCTCCTATCGTCCCATTGCCGTCCCTATCGAACACGGAAAAGGCCTTCACCAGGTCAATTTCCTCCTCCTCTTCCTCCAGATCGCAAGCCGCTGACGTGTCCTCTTCCGACGTGTCCGATGCGTGGCTGGGTGAGCTGAGACACGAGCCGTGGTGGTTGAATCGCGCTGCGTGCAGGAACTCCTCAAAGTCGATCATTTCGTCGCCGTTTTGATCGGCAGATTGAATCATGGTTTTCGCCAACTTCGAATTGCGATTACCCAGCTTTTCCAGGACCTCGGAGAGCTCTTTCTGCGATATCATTCCGTCGCCATTCGCGTCAATGGCGTGGAAAACCCGCATGGCTTCCCGTCGCCGGCGGAACGAGCCTGATCTAAGTTTGCCGTGATCCTCCTCCATAGTTTCACTATTTGCCACTACCTGTGACCCCCTGGTTTCAAAGGGACAAACCCTTCACTAGTCTGAGCTTCCTAAGTGATAGCTTTCCGTACAAACGCTTCGATCAAAACGCTGAACTTTGGGCGCAGTTTGAGAGTTGCAAGGAATATCACGAACGAATCAGTGATGGCTGAACTACACAGCCCTGTTCAGCTGACGCATATATACATTCGAAGCCCGATTCGAACGACGACAATGGGGCAGGCATGTCAAGCAAGCACCCAGAATTTGCGGGTCGCGGGTTAGACCAGAAGCCACCTCCCTGCTTCCTTGCTGACGAATGATGGAGCGCAGGAAGGGGAGGAGGGGAGGGGGAGGAGGCACGTTACTGCTCTTTCCTTCGTCCCGTCCCGTGACATGTCGTGTCGTCATTTGCGTTCCGTCGCACACTTTTGTGTCGGCAATTGTGACGGAGGCGGAATGGAAGAAACTGGTTTGCTGTTACACCTCCTCGCGGGGTCACGAATCTGATGGGTGAGCTCAGTGAAGTCGTCAGCTGTCGTCAGCGGAGTGTCAATTCTCGCGAAATGACGGATGTGAATACGTGGCCTTTGGGAGCAGCCAGGTCAGTCAATGGGGGAAGGAGCCAGTTTCACATCATTTCGTAATGTTCGATCATTACGTAACCTTCTCTACACCTGGAATGTTACTTATAATGGAATGGAAATTGCATACCAGTACGTGGATCAGTAATGCCTCTATGATTGCAGGCCCTTTGCAGTCCCAGCCTTCACAAGTGCACGCAACAAACATCACCGAAAGAATGTGAAAATTAGCCTCATTCGGGAAATCTAACATAAGTGCCACTCAATCATTGGTGAAACTGCTTGGCTTTTTTTTGCTTGGAATCGATAAACTCGTGCACTGGGGATGCTAATAGCTGGGAGCTGTGGGAGGCCTGCACTGAGCAGGCGCCTTCTCACTAGCGAAACCGACAACCCTCACGCTGTCCCGCACCATTGATTCATCGTCATCATTGCGATGCCACACCCACTCTGCCTCCCCGTATGCACCTCCTGCCGCTTCCAACCCAGCCGATGCTTGCTTTTGCTTCCCAAAGATCTTGAGCTCCCCATGGCCAAAGGAAGCTTCTTGGAAGATGGACCACTCTGGTGAGGGAGACAGGTACCTGGTACGTGTGGGGAGCAGTAAAGAAAGGAGAAGGTATCACTGATATCCATGTGCAATCCTGCGATATAGACTATCAATGTGGTGGTGAGCGGAGAGAATGTAACAATTTTACACAACCCCTTCAGTCGCACCGGACAGAGGGAAGGCGGGACAGTGTTACACCACCTGTTTACTGCACTAAACATTCACTGGGACAGATATCACTTGCGAGCATTTAAACGGGCCAGCAACGGTGCGATGCATACCTGGTGGCAAGGCCCTCCTTGTTGCCGCCATCCCCAATGGTGATGTGAATAGGACCACACGGATCCACTTGCCAGTCGAACACTCGCTCCTGCCAGCCGGCATAGCAAGGAGGGCACCAGGGAAAACATGGAGGGAAGCGCAGGTGCATAGTGTCGACAGGAACGCCTAATGTCAATGGGGACTGTTATGCTGCACCTGAGTAGCCTCACCAAAAAGCACGTTTCGAAGCCCCACCATCACAACCAGAGTGAAGCTGTAAAACACCCATGTCTGTGGGTCTCACCGTGCGCTCGTAGGCGTGCACGTGGCCGGCAAACACCATGTCAGTGCGCGCGTCATACAGCACGCGCTCGAGAGCGCGGCGCATGGGCTCTGCTTCCAGCTGGTGTGCCGTGTTGCTGTTGTACCACGGCGCATGCACCACCGCCACCAGCCACGGCGTGCGCGACCGATCCACTCCCGCAAGGTCGTTCTGAAAAGGGATTTTGCATTGCACGAGGATGGACAAAAAGAGTGCAGGTGGGTGGTAAGTTTCCAGGAGAAAAAAAATATGATAAATGAAAAGTACAAGCTGCTCACAGCTACCCCATGAGCAGCATCCCTTATCCCCCATCATTTCTCACCTTGAGCCATTGTCCCTGAATGGAGTCTGGTTCAAAGTCGGAGTAGGAGTTGAGCATAACCCAGTGCACGCCCGCACTCTCAAACGAGTAGAACAAGTTGGATGGCGATGCGCTCTCCGCAGACGGCATGGTCCACCGCGCATTGTACGCCGTGAACGGCCGCACCAGCCCCGGCAGGCTCTCTATCTCGTGGTTCCCCGGGATCACCATCCACGGGCGCGAGCTCGCGAGCGGCTCAATGAGGTTTTGCCACGTGTCCCAGCGGGGTTGGTAGGCGTCGGCGTAGGAGAGGTCGCCTGGGAGCACGAGCAGGTCGTGGGGCTGCTGCGCTATGTGGTCCAGTGTTGACACCGTCCACCCCGTCTGCCCCATGTCGCCTGGTGCCAGGGGATGGGCAGGGGATGTGTAGAAATGGGCAGGGAACGAGCAGGGATTGGGCAGGGGTGGCAGGGAATGGGAGGGGATGGGAGAGGAGAGGATGGGTTGGTCGGGAATGATAACCATGGATGTGTTACGACCGAATCCCCACCATAGCTTTATACTCAAACGAGGCCGCCCTCTTTTCCTCTTGCGAAACAGAGCTGAACATGAGAAAAAGTGTGGTGCGTGAGGGGTTCTGTGACAGGCAGGTGGCGCGAGAGCAGGGAGGGGCGGCGGCACTGACCAACGATGGCGATGTTGATGGTGTCGGATGGGTCAGCAGGGAGGGTCTTGAATGACCGCTCCGTGAACCCACTCCCCACAATGCCCCTGCCACTGCTGATCAAACCCACTTGCTCCACACCGCCGCCGATGCTGCTGCTGCCGCTGCCTGCAGCATTCGACACGAGGGAAAGCGTGGCAGGAGACGCAGCGCTGGTCGCTCCAACCGCTGCCACGTCAGCAGCCTGTGCAGCAGGCTGGGCCGCGTCAGCGGTGGTGTCTGTAGTGCCGACGCGGTAGTAGTAGACGGTGTTGGGGGCGAGGGGCTGCTCTGGGCCGCCAATGACCGCCGTGTGGATGAACCCCGACCTGGTGGAGTGGGTGCGGCCACCCGTGACATCAAGGGCAGGCTGAAGGTTTTCAAGGTTTTCGATGGAATGGGCAAAAGGCGGAGGGATGAGGGAGGAAAGCGGGGAAAGAGAGGACGAGAGAGAGAAACCTGGACCTGGGAGGGGGACTGGTAGTGTTGCGAGGAGGCTTACGTTTTGAGAATAAGGCAAGATGCAACAGACAGTGGAGGAAAGATGGGCGAAACAGGGGGAGTGGGAGGATGGAGAGGGGGAGAGAGGTGGGGAATAATGGGTGGGAGGGTGGAGGAAACGAGCGAGCGAGGCAGGACTGGAAAGGCGGGCACTTCATGGGAAGTTGTACGTTGAGTGGTGGGCTGTGCGGACCAGAGGTGCAGGTGAGCTCACCGGTAGAAGAGGAAGCTATATTTGGTGGTGGTGCCCGTGACAGTGTGCGTGTAGCGCCCAGGCGCGTCACCGTACTGCACCACTGCAGGTGCTGCACCGTCCATTGTCACCCACGTTACTCGCATGGCGCCAGGCCCCGCCAGGCTGATGTGCACCTGCGACAGGGGAGGTGCACGCAGGGGAGGTGCACGCAGGGGAGGTGCAGGGGGGAGCAGAGAGACACGGAGCGGCGCAGGGGGGTATAGAGAGGCACAAAGAGACACAGTGGGTTCCAGGGTGGCGTGGATGGGGAGATGGGCGGAGTCAGCCTTGCAGCTGAGGGTCGTAGAAGCTGCATTGTTATTTCCGACGTGCCAAGGCATCATCTTGCTACAACCCACCACCAACATTGCTGCGTTGCGGCATTGCTTCTTTGCTGCACTGCTGCATTGCGGCATTGCTGCATCACTGCATTGCATTGCTGCATCGCTGCATTGCACCGCTGCATTGCTACTTGAGCGACTACTCGCCCACCTGCTGAGGCTCGTCGGCCTGCCTCGCGGGGCCGAACAGACGGCTGCTCATGGGCAGGTCGGGTCGGTGCCCCGGCCGAATGTACTCCTCCGCCAACGTTGATCCGCCCACCGGCGCAAACTCCGCCACGCGCGCAAGCTCCCCCACGGTCCCCAGCGCGCTCAGCTCCTCCGCGTACACGCCATTGGCGTCGTCGGCATCGTCAATCGCGCCGGTGGTGAGGAACGGCAGGAGGTTGTCCAATCGAGCGCTGAATGCGCCGCCGAAAGCGGACGCGGCTGCAACGGGCTCTTCGGCCAGAGCGGGCGCAACGGCGCCGCCGGGAGAAACGCCAGTGATGGCGGTGGTGGCGAGGAGGACCGAGGCGAGACAGGCTACAGCCGACGCGGCAACAGAGGAGAACGCATTACTGCCTGCGACATTCGTAGACGTTTCCGCATCGTTCCCGGCTTTACCGCCAGCTGCATTCACTGATCTTCTCTGCGATTCTGACGCGTTCGAGGCCGCGGAAAGTAGATTGTTTGAGGCGTTCGGCGTGTCAGAAGGCGATCCGTCGTTCCCGCTGCTCGCGTGCACGCAGCGCCGCGCGTTGCTCCGAGAGCCGATCAGGCCGCTGCGTCTGAAGGCTCTGGGCTGCTCCGCGGAGAGCAATGAACGAGGACGGATCAATGGCGAAAATGAGTTCGGCGCAGGGAGTCCGGTTCTGGCTCGAGGGGGAGGCGAGGAGACGGAGCCGTGGAGGTGGAGAGCGGGCATTGCGGCACGACTGGCGGAGAGAGTCGTCGCCATAACTGGATGCGGTACGCACGGCCGGCTCGCTAATGCTGCTGCAGGCGAGCTGATTGATCGGTGAAAGCAGCCAGCGAGACAGCACGTATAGGCTTCGCAAGCGGGCTGGATGAACAGACAAGCCAGACTTGTAACTGGATGGTATCAATTCAGGTGGTGAGCTGACCTCTACTGACCAGCTTTCCAGAAACTGGCCCAGCAGGAAAGGAATACACTCCGCACTCCGGTGATTTCTCCTGATTCCGACGAGGCGTGCTGTGTGACGCCCCCGCTACGCTTGCCTGAAATTTGCAGCCCGATACATTTCCCCTCGGCGACCACATCACAGGCATCACCCCTTGCTGCCCGCGGCGACCAAAAAAATATGTACTTCGTTTCGTGGCTCCCTGGTTTGGGTTGGGTTGGGTTGGGTTGGGAACTCTTCGGGAGAGGGGGCAGGCGGAGGGCAGGCGGGCAGCATGCTCTGCGAAAAATGTCAAGAGTCTGAAGGGATTCGCATCAGTCAAGGAAGGAACTGATTTCCTGATTGGACGGATGAGGAATCTAGGCCTGGAATGTGGTCATTTTGCCGATAGGTGTTCTTATATACGTGTGCAGCATCAAACTCGATCATCGATACTTTCATGTAAATAGCTTGTGCGGGTGTTGGTTCAACCATTACAGTTTCGAGATTCTTAATCGGGACCTGTTGCAGCGAGAATACAGCATCTCTCCCACCTCGATATTCATGTGCTCTAGGGTTTCGTGTCCGCCTTGCTGGTGGCTCTGATAGCTTCGTCAATCTCGATGAACACATACTATGGGGTACCTCATCGCTCCTGCTAATGCGGTCTCTTCCTTCCTACGTCACCTCCATTCCTCCTCAGCATAAACAGAGCAGCACGCTCTTTTCCTTCGTTTATCCTTTTGTGTGGCATCGCAAGAAGCGCGTTTACTAGCCCTCTGACCTCATGAGCTTGTCTTGATGTTGCAACAACGGCCCGGCTCCCGCAGTTCCAGCTCGAAGTCTAACCACAGATGGCGATGCCTTCTCCCACGGCTCTAGTAGTCAGAACCCCACCTACATCCCCCGCACCTTCCTTTACCCCTCAGTACTTTCCGCGTACTCCTAGATACCCCCTCACCCGAGACGGCCGGCTTAGTAGCAACTGGGTGACTTTCTCTCTCCCCTCGTCGTCCGGTACTCTCCGTTGCTGCTTTCACTCCTCCCAGCTTCAAACAATTCACCCGTTGGCATGTGAGAGGGTGCTAGTCGGGCCTACCCTCATGCTGCTCTACCCATCAAGATCCCTCGCCTTTTCCTCACTCTCCGCGCTGCTGTCTTTCCGCGCCTGGCAGTTCCCGCGTGGACTCCTCGCGCTAACCACCACCCGCCAGCCCTTCTCCTCCGCAGCCTCCGCCGCTTCCGCGGGTCGTTCTTCGGAAACCCGGTTCCCAGGCTTCGCGCCACGTGGGGTGGGACAGTCGCCGTTAGCTCAGTCCCTGCCGACTGTTGCTGAGTATGGCAGATCAGCTGTCAGCGACGGTCCCGCACTCACTTCTAGAGAAAGACGTGGTCCGAGGAGGGCGGACGATGGAGGCCGCTTAACCTCTGTCGTGGGTCTCGATTCTCGTGCCGGCCTTTCTGAAGATAAAACCCTTGGCGTAACGACCATCGCTAACGGAGTTCTTAACGGGGTCAGTCGAGACGACTTTCACGAATCCATCAACGGCGCTACTAACGAAGCTCCTATCGATGCCGACACTTTCCGGGCCGCCTCGGTGGACATTAACAGGGAGACGCGACCCATGCGATTCGACGAGATCATTGGGCAGGATAATACGGTGGAGCTTCTCAAAGCCGCCGTGGCCGATAACCAAGTCGTTTCCGCGTACCTCTTCTCAGGCCCGCACGGCACGGGGAAAACCTCTGCTGCGCGCATCCTCGCTTCCGCCATCGGCTGCTCCGCGCGGAAGCCTGGCGACGGAAACCCGTGCGGCGGGAAGTGCCCGCACTGCCGCGCCGTGGCGGACGGGACGAGCGAAGTCGTGGTGGAGATCGACGCGGCGAGCGACCGCGGGGTGGCGGTCGCGCGGCAGATCATAAACGACGTAGAGAAGGCACCGGATGGCACGCGGATTGTGCGCATTATTGACGAGTGCCACATGCTCACGAGAGAAGCTTTGGCGGCGCTGCTGAAGACGCTGGAGGAACCAGTGGGCAACCCGTTGTTCATCCTCGTTACCACCGATCCTGGGCAGTTGCCCAGCACGAACCCCTCGCGCTGCCACAAGCTCGCGTTCTCGGCCGTGCCCAATGAGGTCATGGTGAAGGACCTGCGGAGGATTGCGCAGTTGAAGCGGTGGGAGGCCTCTGATGACGGGCTGCGCGCGATTGCGGAGGAGGCGGCGGGGTCGATGCGCGACGCGAAGAAGATTCTGCAGCAGCTGAGCCTGCTGAAGAAGCGGATCACGGGAGACCTGGTGCTCGATCATGTGCGCGCGGGGAGGGAGGGGGGAAGGGGGACGGGAGGAACGGGGAGGGGGCGGGAGTGGGACGGGAGGGGCCGGGAGGGGCCGGGAAGGGCGGGGAGGGGGGAAAGGGGACGGAAAGGGAAGACGGGCAGGTTTAGGGAAGGGGATTTTTCTCTTGTCGCTCCCACGCGTGCTTCCCCCCCCTTCCTCTCCCCACACTTACCATCCCCCCCCCTCATCCTCGTCTCTCTCACGGACCTCTGTACTAGACATTCCCTCCTCACCCTTCGTTGACGCCACTCTCAACCCGTCCTCCACCCTCTTCTCCTCCCTCACTCTCCTCTGTTCTCTCACTCTCCTCTGTTCTCTCACTCTCCCCTCCTCCCCCGTTCTCCTCTCCCCCCACGTTCTCCTCTCCCGCCTCACTCTCCTCTCCTTTCCCACCTTCCTCTCCTCCCTCGGTGTCCTCTCTTATCCCGCGCCCCTCCATCCATCCGCCCCTCAGTTCAAGCGGTTGCCGCAGTGGAAGGCGGAGGTGATGCTGGTGCTCGCGCTGAGCGACGTGCAGCCAACGGGGGTGGTGGAGGCGGCCAAGGACCTGGAGCGCAGGGGCGTGGCGTTCCCAGAGGTGCTGCGCCAGCTTAGGGATGCCGCCACTGACGCGCTCACGCGCAAGGGCACCAATCGACAGCTCGATTTCATCGCCGGTACGCAGTGTCAGTGGGTCCTTCCCTCGTTTTGGGACTGAGTAAGCAGTCTGGACTGGACTTATACTCACCTCCTGTAGTTTTTTTTCTTCCTATACGCCTCCCTGTTTGCTTTTCTTCTTTCTTGCTCTCTCACCTTGCCGCCCCGCTTCCGGCCACCTTCCTCTGCAGCTTCTCCTGAGGGCCGGTCGCTGCTGCAAGCAGTGGTGAAGGAGTTAAGAGAGGCAGAGAAGCAGCAGAAAGAGGAACCGACCAACATGAAGCTGTTTATATCATTCCTCGTGGAGCTGCCTCTCCTCTTAGAGAAATACCCCTGCTCCTTCCACATTTCAGCCGCAGCCGACTCCGCTTCCTCCTCCTCTCCTTCGCCCCCCTCGCACCCCCCCTCCTCTCTCATGGCACCAGCGCATGCGCCAAGCGGGGCTGCACGGGCGGAGGGGGAGTGGGGGGAGCTGGCGAGGAAAGCCATGGCGGAGATGACGCCCCACCAGCGCTCTCTGTTCACGCAGCAGGCCTGCATCGTTGCTGTCACCGATACCTCTGCCACCGATACCACTGGTAAGGACCCCTCGTTGATTACTTCCATGTGTGTGTGTGTGTGTGTGTGTGTGTGTGTGACACTGCGTTGCTCCATGCCCGCGCTTTCTGCTTGCCAATTCTTCCTTCTGCTACTCCCGCTTTCCATCGCCCCCGCTCCTCTCCTCCCCGTCCCCACTTTCTAATTCTCTTGCACGCACAGTTTCTGCTTTCTCCACCGTTTCAGCAACCTTCACAACCCACTCCCATGCGATTCGCGCCTGCATAGCGTTTTTTTTTTACAGGTCTTGCACATATTCGAGTCTTCCACCCCATCCCTTCGTCCCCCCTCTCCCCTCCCTTTTTCCCCTTTCCCCCTTCGTGCGCATGGCTCCCCCGCTTCCCCTTCCTCAGTCACGCTGAGCTTCCTCCAGGCGTGGATAAAAAAGCTCAACGACGGGAGGCGCAAGACAATCATTCCCGGCTTCACTGAAGCCTTCTCAAAGGCCCTCCGCAGCCGGGTGACCATACAGCTGGTGGACAAAGAGTCCCTGGGGGCTGCTACGGATGCACCCAGTGCGGAGGACCTAGCAGCCGCGGCCTCTGCATCTGCTGCTGCTGCTGCTAAGTCTGACACAGTCCCCAAGGGGGCTGGAAGGAAAGTGCCTGAGGAGAGACGCAGAGTGAGGGAGGGTGTCAGTCAGTGGGTGCCTGAGGAGGAGGGGAGCGGGTTGGTGGTAACGAGTCCCCAACCAGCCAAAGGCAAGGAAGTCTGGAAGAACAGTCAAGCACGTGAGGCGAAGGCTGGGCGTGGTCACTTGTCTCAGCCCTCGCCTGCCCAGTTGGAGGCAGCTGCCGCTAAGTCCGCTGCCAAGGTTGCAGCAGCCAGAAGAGCCGGGCAGGCACGGGCAGCAGCGAAGATGCGAGAGACCCATAGAAGAGAAGGCCAGCAGGCACTGCAGGGACCTTCGCCGGCGCTGCCAACAGTTGTGATTCCGGGAGCAGCAGATGCTTATGGTTCCTTCAATCGGAGTGAAGTTTTGAAGATAGAGGCGGGTTCCGGGTCAGGTGAATCGGAGAGCGAGCATGGTCGTGGTGCTGCTGATGGCTGGGACTCGAATGAGGTTTCGATGCATGGTCCTTCGCGGGTGAATGCTGTGCCTTCGACTCTCCCTGCGAATGCTGGCTTCAGCACAGCTTTCAGTGCCAGCAGCAGCAGTGGTGGCAATGATATCACGGCAGAAGCGGTGGGGCATGGAACGGAGTTGCCATCACCAGAGTTGGTGGATTTTGGAATTACAGAAGCAGGTCAGCCAAGAACTCCTGCACCCGATGAAGTGACAGGAACTGTCATTCTTGGTGGTGGTGAGGCAGACCACGGGATGACAGTGGGGAGTTTGAGCCATGATTATCAAGCATCGATCACTGATGCACAGCCAGGGCCTAGCTCTGTGCCAAAAGTCAAGGCGGAGACTGAAGGCGCTTTTTTGGGGAGCCACGAGTGTGATGCAGTTGTGGAGGGCCCTGCAGGGGGCGCTCTTGTGAATGGGGTTGAGAACGGTGATGTGGTGGAGGATACTGTGCATGATGGTAGGATGGAAGCCAGTGTGGGCCATGGCATCATCGATGGGGGCCTGCTAGGGGATGCTGCACAAGGAGAGAATCTGATCACAGATGTTGAACGCGCTTCTGACGCTGTCCCTGTTGTTGCTCCTTATGCATTGGTTGACGGTGCTGCTGCTGCTTGGGTTGACGGTGATGCTGCTGCTTCGACTGACAATGCCGCTGTTGCTTTGGCGGACGGTGCTGCTGCTACCTTGGCTGATGGTGCTGCTGAATCAAGAGCTGATGTGGAGCCTGTCGGTGCAGCTGATGTGGAGGCTGTGGGTGCAGCAGAATCTGATGTGGAGGCTGTGGGTGCAGCAGAATCTGATGTGGAGGCTGTGGGTGCAGCAGAATCTGATGTGGAGGCTGTGGGTGCAGCAGAATCTGATGTGGAGGTCATGGATGCAGCAGAATCTGATGTGGAGGTAGTGGGTGCAGCAGAATCTGATGTGGAGGCTGTGGGTGCAGCAGAATCTGATGTGGAGGCTGTGGGTGCAGCAGCAGCTTATGTTGAAGATGCTGCTGTTGTCCCTGCATCTACCGTGGGAGCTGATATGGAGGCAGCTGAGACTGGCGCCAATGCTGGAGGCAGCAGCATTTCTGCTCATGTCAATCCCAGAGTTGCTGCTGCTGAAGTTGACACTGGCATGGATGCAGCTTATCCCGTGGATGGTCGTGTGGGATTCAGAGGCTATCCTGATTCTGGCCGGCGTGAAGAAGGTGGTGCTCTTGCTGCTTCCCGCATGTCCCCCAGCCGTGGCACCCGTCCTACCGTTGCCACAGCTTCCGCTGGTCGCGGGACCAGTGGCTCAAACGTTGGGGGAAGCACTGGTGGGGCCGTGCGCATGGCCTTTGCACCTCGTGGCAGGACTCGGGGACCTTTTAAGCCCAAGGCTTTGCCAAGTGACCATGGGGCTCTCAGTAGGACTGATCCTGGAGCTGAGCCAGGGAGGCCGGTGAATGATGTTAAGACTGGTGGAAGGTTTGATGATTTGGATCCTGCAGAAGCTGCTGCGATAGCGCTTTGCAAAGCTTTTGGAGGCAGGCTTTTTGTATTGAGAGAGGACAACGACAGGGAGGTGGACAAGTAACGAGTTTCTTCAGTGGGGTCTTCTGTTTTTTTCCGGTTACTGTTGGCCCACTCACCCGAGGAAATTGTGAGTTGTAGGCTTGCTGATGCTTGCAGATGTGGATATTTGTCGTGATGCTTGCCAGGACCTCAGATTCGTTGTAGGGCACACCTGAGCCCCCTGAGGGCAAACTTCTTCAATAACACAGCATCCTGATTTGTCAGGGGATAGTGAACTACTGTAGCTGTCAGTAATATTCCAGTGGCAGTTTTGTATGCTAGTATATTTCAGGCCAGGGTCTATTCATTGCTTGCATCATCTTCTGAAAACAATGTGTTATAGGAAAGTCGTAGTCTGCTAGAGTGTAGTGTAGCCTCAGGCGAGGCGAAGCACAGTATCTGGGGAACTACCGAAGCAAGCCGTTTGCTTGCTTGGGGGCGGGAAACGAACAGGTTTGGTTGACCGTCGAGTAGTTTTGAGTTTTGCGAATCCCGTTCCGCGTTGCGACGTTTTTCGTAAATCAGCAAGCGACAGTGTGTGCGACATGGCAGGGAGGGAAGTTGCACCGCGACTCCATGCCCCGCCTTGATGACCTTGGAAAAGTCGGTCTTCCCGCGCGACACGAAAAGTCAGGTTCGGCAACTTTCATGTCAGGCAGGCCCGCGTCGTGTCTCATCCCTGTTCTCTTTTGAGACCTCGCTTCGGCCTTCCACAACATAGCTCCCTTCTCTCGGCATGTCATGTGATTCATTCTGAGAATTCTCCTCAACCTCTACGATCTCAATCTCCCACATCCTCCATTTTACACGTGACGTATTCTCCAACCTTGTTCCGGCTTCCTTCCCAGCTGAAGCCATGGCTAACATTGGAATTATGGACGGAGCGTACTTCGTATCTAGGTCTGACATCTTAGCATGGATTAATACTACCCTTCAGCTGAATGTCTCTAAAGTCGAAGAGGTAGGAAAACTTGGCTGTGTGGTGCTGACCGTTACATGGGCCAAGTCCGAGAATTTTTTTCTGACGTTCTGTCTTCACCTTGCGCAGGCAGCTTCGGGGGCTATCCACTGCCAGCTTATGGACGCTATCTACCCGAATGTCGTCCCTATGCATAAAGTACGACTTCTCTTATCACTTGGAAGATATCAACTGCTAAACGGTGGCATGCGACTAATTTTTTTGTGACTGGATGCCTTGCAGGTCAACTACGATGCGAAGAATGAGTACGAAATGATTCAGAATTACAAGGTCCTTCAGGATGTCTTTGACAAACTCAAGATAGCAAAGGTACTGTGTTTGCAACAACACGCATATGATACTGGTTTTATTCGTTGACGAAGCAGGAAAAACTTATTACCATTCTTCTTGTGCAGCACATCGAGGTGAACAAGCTTGTGAAAGGGCGCCCATTGGACAACCTTGAGTTCATGCAGTGGATGAAGCGTTATTGCGATACCATCAGCAAGGGAGTCATCGATCCTAGGTGAGCACCGCAAAGGCTTGTTTTGTTTGAAGTCCATCGTCACTTGTCGCTAAAGCACGTTGGTGGCGTTGCAGTTACAATCCTGTGGAACGCCGCAACTCCTCTAAGGGTGGGAAGGAGATGTTGAGGAAGTTTCCTCAACCTGCTGCCTCTCGGCCTCGCGTGCAACCCCGTGCGCAGCCGGTTATGAGCAAGCCAGCGACAGGTAAGCATGAAGCAATTATATTTCTCCTTTTAATCCATAGGCCTCTTCGCTGACCATCGCTACCTGTGTGCAGGAAATCCAAGGTCAACTGCCACCCGGGCCTCCTCTGCACCGAACACAACTGATTACCAGCTGTATGACAAGCAAGTCCAGGAGCTCCGAGAGCAGGTAAGCAAAATTTCCTGCTAAGCATTCAAATCAATCCAATCATCCATTATGTTTGACTATCGTCGTTGTTTGTGCAGATTTCCGAACACAAGATGACTATTGACAGCCTTGAGAAGGAACGGGATTTTTATTTCACCAAGCTCAGGGATATCGAACTTCTCTGCCAAACGCCTGGTCACGCTACGATACCGGTGAGCCGCAGTGGCATTTTGTTTTTGCGATTGACGGTTTTTACTTTTGGAGTACGACACTCATTTTCCAATATGCGCTTCTTTCCATCGTAACAGAACGCTGCCGTGCTGAAGATTCTCTACGCAACAGAAGACGCAGAAGACACTCTGGATCAGGCGCGCGCTCTTTTGCAAGTAAATGGCGAGGCAGAAGCGGAAGTTGACAACGAGCAGGAACCTGCCGACGTGGAAGAGGCTGAGGAAGAGCCCCAAGATGAGGAAGTGTTTATGGATGGGTCGAGCGACGTAACTACCCCCCTGGCAACAGTGGAAGTTCAGTAATGTTCATAGCTTCAGCATTTTTAGCGACTAGAGGTGCCATGCTTCATATTGCTCTTTACTCCGTTGCTCCATTGCAGCCGAGTTATCAGTTTCAGACAACCTGATGTAGCGATATAGGTAGTGTTGCGACCTTGTATGCAGAAACCAGCACTGTGAATAAAGTGGCATTTCACAAGTATCTTGCTGGCATTTTCATACCGTGTCTGCTTGACAGAGTTGGTATTTTACGTGATGAAAAGCATAGTTACTGGAATACCCCCCCCCGCACCACCCCCTCCTTCCCTTCAGATGATAGCGCCATGGGTAAAGGGTAGCTAAAGGGGAGAGAATCAGGTCAGCTACCAGCATCTGACAGCACTCTTGTGCTAGTCGTATATGTTGGGGGTTGCAATTGCAGCACTCTTGTGCTAGTCGTATATCAACAACAACTTGGCAGTCCAGCATTCTGTCATCACTTCACTCACCCTGAATCTGTCAGAAGGACCACCGAGCCTTGAGATCGAAACAGGTAGGCGGCTTATAATAAATTCTATAAATATTACAGCGTCGTTCTCCTCGTCTACAGTACAGAATCTATAAACGTCCAAACCACAAACAATAGAGCGATTGTTGCACCTCTACTCGAACATTACAGGACCCTAAACACTAAACCATGCAATGCACACTTCCTTTGCCCCGCACTTTCATTTGGCAGATCCTCAGCGAGATGGAGCCAGATAGGGGTTCTCAGTGTGGGGGAGTGCAAGAAAGGGGCAGTGAAACTAAAAATTGTTGAGCATGCGAGCAAGAAGGTAATTGGGAGTGAGAAGAGAGTGCGGCATGTGCTCTCCTGTGAGCGGAGAGGTACTATGCGATGACAGCCAATCAGCAATGCTGCGGCGCTCATAGGTGAATCCATCTGCTGCCACCACGGGATCTGTCATGCGCTCCTGTGACCCAGAAAAAGGGGAGCGGAGGGATGGGGGAAGAGGCACAGTGGAGGAGGAGACCACAGGTTGAGATTGAGCGAGAGAGGGAGGAGGCAGCAGGAGAAGGACGGCAGGGAGAGACTCAGGAGGCGAGGTATCCACGACAAGTCCAGAAAGAGAAGAAGAGGATGGGCCGGCACGGGAACAGCCAGGACCAGAACCAGAAGCACCTCATCACCAGCCCATGACCCCACAACCCCTCATCAATAGCAACACCACTAGCCCCCTCTACCCCTCTCTCTCTCCTCTCTCTCGCTCTCACGCCTACCTGTGACAGCGGGCACAGCAGCTGGCCCTCCACCTCCGCAGCCCTCCTCGCCTTCTCCTCCGCCGCCAGCCGAGCCACATCCGCCAGGACGGGGTGCACCACCGTGCGCAGGTCCGGCCGGTGCACTCTCTTGCGCTCCACACACCGCGCTGCCACCCTCACCACCCGCTCCACCAGCCCCAGCGGCCAGTGCCCTGCGTTGGGGTCCAGGTTGCTGGTTACCACAGCCAGGACTCGGTTCATGTCCCGGGCTTCCCCGGGGCCGCCACCGCCGCTGCTGCTGCTGCTGGAGGAGTTGTGGGAAAGCCCGGAGAGAGGGGAGAGCGGGGAGGAGGCAGGAGCTCCAAGGGTGGTGCTGCTACCAACAACCGCACACTCCTCCAGCATGCGATGCAGGTGCTTCACGTTCCGTTTCCCCGTCAGCAGCTGCAGCACAATCAGCCCAAACGCGTAAATATCCGATTTCACCGACAGCTGTCCCGTGCTCAGCTCCTCAGGGTCAATGTACCCTGCGGTTCCCCGCACCTTCCACGTCACATGCCCCAGCCCATCGTCCCCGGGGATGAGCCTTGCAAGCCCCACGTCTGCGATCTTGCTGGTGCCGTTGGCATCGAGGAGAATGTTGTCAGGCTTTAAGTCGCGGTGCAGGATGGGCGGGTCGTGCCGATGCAGGAAGAGTAGAGCTCCGGAGATTTCAGCCGCGATGCGCAGGCGGTCGGACCATGAGAGTGGGATGACTCGCGGCTTGTCCAGAGCCACCACCGGTGCCCCTCCTCCAGCAGCAGCACCACCACCACCGGATCCTGCTCCTGCTCCTGCTGCTGCTCCAGCAATTTTAGCAGGTGACGAGCCGGCCACGATCCTGTGCTGCAGATCTCCCCCAGACATGAACTCATACACGATACAAGCCTCCTCAGGACACTGCCCCATGAGCAGCACTATATTGGGGTGCCGCACGCGACTCAGCACCTCCACCTCTGTGCGGAATTCAGCCGGCCCCTGCTCGCTCCCTGCCTCTAGTTTCTTGATTGCCACCTCGCATCCATACAGCTGACCTCTGAACACCGGACCAAACGCCCCCCGACCCAGCATGTTTGCTTCGGAAAAGCCGTTGGTGGCCTCCCGAAGCTGGTCGAGGGTGAAGCGGCGGCAGTCAGAGGACTCGTCAGGTGCTGCTGACCCTCCTCCTCCTCCGCCCCCGTCGCCCGCTGTCGTGGTGGCAGCAGAGCTGGAGGGGTTGCTGCGAGGGGAGCTGGCTGTGGTGTCAGGCTGCATGCACAAGGGGAGGGGGCAAGAGAGGAAAAAGGGAAGGCATGAGCAGGAAGGCACGAGCGCGAATGATAGTTGCACCAGCGGGGGCTGAGGAGGCATTGGGGTTGATAGTTGAAAAGGCTGCCAGAAAGCTGAAGTGCAGAGGGGAAGATGGAGAAGAGGGTGTAGGGAACATGCGGCCAAATAATTCTAGAAATAATTAAATTTTTATTTTCATAATTTTAAGAATAAAAAAACCTATTAATATTTTATGATTATTTTCATCATTTGTTGCTGGGTTCACCAAGGTGCTACACTCACAGGATTTGTTGTCCCAGGCGCAGCAGCAGTAGCAGCAGCTGCAGGGTTGAGACGGCTGGGGACCTTGCCTGCTGCTGCTGTTGCTGCTGCTGCCCTGTCGGCCACCTTGCGGAGAAACTCAGCAGAGTTGAAGGAGGAGCATGTGCTGCTCTCACTCGCCATGCTGTGGTGCTCCTGTTGTTGGAGGGGCGAGAGAGGGGTGTGATGGGAGAGAGAAGAGAGGAGAAGAAGTGGGGTGAGAAGAGGAGAGGAGAAGGGAGGAGATGCTGGGGTGGATAGCGAAGGGGATAGGGCAAAGGGCGGAGGGCTAAGGGCGATGAGGGGAGGGAGCAACGCAACGAGCGGAGCGCAACAAGCAACACAACGCGTGACAATAAGATGGAGAAGAAAGCAAGGAGCCGATGCGAGAGCACTGACCTGGTCGGGATCATCGCAGTAGTCGTCCTCTCCACCTGTAGCAACAGCAGCAGTGGGCCTGACGACCCTGCCAAAGCTGAAGTCATTCCCATCGCCATCATCCGAGCCCAGTAGCAGCTCCGACCGCAACCACCGCCCCCCCACGTCGCCCCCTGGGGCCGCCATAGCAGCAGCAGGAGCAGCAGGAGCAGCAGGAGCAGCAACAGTGGTAGAAGGTGAAGGGGAGAAGGGGCGACGGGCGAGGGGTGATGGAGATGAGGCAGGGGGGCATGACTCTGAAGGTGATCGGTCAAATGCGTTGGTCGTGACGGGTTTGAGCGGCCCAGACCCAAATGACTTGTGCCGCTGTTGCTGCTGCTGCTGCTGCTGCTGCTGCTGCTGCTGCCTGTCCCTGTCAGCTTCTATCCGTGCCTTTTCCAGCTCTATCTCCTCCACCATCTCCCGCACCCTCTCTCTCGCCTCCCTCGCTGCCTCCTCTGCTCGTGCAGCCTCCGCCCGTCGCTCCTCCAGCATCCTCTGCAACTCACCCAACCGTACCTCATTCCCTCCTTCCCTCCCTCCCTGCCTGCTCCCACCTCTTCCCACAAGATCAACCCCACCTGTTCCTCCTCCTCCTCCTCCTCCACCACCACCTCCTCCTCCTCCGCCTGCGCCCTTGTGCACCAGGCCAAGGATTGGCGCAAGAGAAGCCAAGGCGCCTTTCTCTCTGAAAGAGGCTGCGCGGCGATCCAAGGGGGACCGGGGCCTGGACAGCCCGCCTTTCCCCACAACGTTCCACTTCTGCTTGCCCGCTGCTGCTGCTGCTGCCCCTGTCCCTCCTCCTCCCCCTGCCCCTTTTTCTCCCCCTCCACCTGCTGTCTCCTCCCCTCCACCGTCACTGCCACCAGAATTAATACCTTGATGCACAACCTGCAGCTTCTGCTGCTCTTGCTGCTCCTTGTGCCCCCTCGGCTTCAGCACTACACCAGCCAACACACTCAGCACACCCGCTTCACCTCGGCCCTGCGACTCCCTCTCCCCAGCTCCCTCCTCTCCTTCCTCCCCTCCTCTCTCCCCTTTACCCTCTCCTCCCTCCCATCCCTTTTGTGCTTCCCTCGAGTACTCTCCCCGTCCACCTGCCTGCCCCTGCTGTTGCTCTGTAACGGACACCACCCGTCTCAGGTTGCGGGCGCGCAGGTCACCAGAAGCAGCAGCAGCAGCCATGGCCTTCTGGACCACCATATCAGTCGGAAACTTCTGTGTTGCCTCCTCTCCCTCTCCCTCACCCTCTTGCTCTCCCCACACGTTCCCCCCTTCCCCTCTCCTCCCCCCTCTGCCTCCAACTTCCTCCCACCTGTGCGACCCCTCTACCCCTGTGCCTGCCTCGGCTGCTGCTGCTGCCGCTGCTGTTCCTCCTGCTGCTCCGCCTGCTCCTACTGCTGCATCAGAGTCAGCAGCAACGTCTTGTGTCTGCCCTCTCTCCGCGTGTCCCCCCATTGCGCTCTCCATCTGTCCCTTTGTGTGCGATCCAAAGTAATGGGCAGTACCAGAGATGGCAGCAGCAGCTTCTGCTAGCGGATCCCACCCGTCACTCCCACTCCCACTCCCACTGCCATTCACACTGCCAATGCCACGGCCATTCCCACTGCCGCGGCCGTTCCCACTGCCATCCCGACTGCCGCTGCCACCCGCATATTCCGGGCCGTTCGCTTTCAAACTGCTGCTGCGCAGGCTTCGCCCTCTGCTGTTGCTCATCCCAGCAGCAGCAGCATCCTCCCCACGATCACCACTGATGCCCAGGCTGCTGCCGCCACCACTGCCGCCAGCAGCACCTGAAGCAGCAGCAGCAACAGAAGCAGCAGCAGTGGGACCGACAGAGCCAGGGCCAGGGCCAGTGGCAGCCGCAGAGAGAAGAGAGGCGGCATCAAAGGAGCCCAGGGAGGGGAAGCGGCGGCGGGATTGGAAACGCTCTTTTGGACCCCACACGCCCTCCACCTCCATCTCCTCCAGACCTAACTCACCACTCACCGCACTTCTCACCCCCTCCTCCGCTCTCCTTCCGTCGCCCTCCCTCCCTCCGCCCCCTCCTCCTCCTCCTCCGGGTCTCTGGCCGCCTCTTTCTGTCCTGTGCCCTGTCGCAGCAGCAGCAGCAGCAGCAGCAGCGCCAGGAAGAGCAGTAGCATTAGGTGCAGCAGCAGCAGCAGCAGGGCCGGCGGTGGGTGCAGAAGTGGCAGCAGCGAGCTGCATGGCTCTCTTGCCTCGACTCAACGTGCGGGAGTTCACAAGCATGCGCGACACAGGTATGCCTGCTGCTGCTGCAGCTGCTGAACCAGCACCATCATCACCACAGGCAGCAGCAGCACCAGGCGATGTGGAGGCGCTAGAGCCGCCAAAAGAGCCCCCGCGGCTGAACTCGCGAGCATGGCCGGGAGTGGAGAGCGGCGAGGAGGAAGAGAAGGGCGACGGCGGAACTGAAGGGCTCCAGGGGGAAGAGGGCCAGAGGGCGTAGGGCGAGGTGGGGGTGGTGGCGGAAAGAGGAGGTGGGGAGGGTGGAGGACCCGAGGGCACGGAGACAGAGAAATGCGGATAGGTGGGGACGGTTGGAGGGCGGGAGGGCGGGTGCTGGCTGCCGCTGGTGGCGCTGGTGGCGCTGGTGGAGCTTTGGGAGCGGGTGAAGCCAGAGGCGGAGCGTGCTGCGGGGAGGTCTGCAAAGGACAGCAGGCTCGAGCTGCCTGGAGTAGCAGGCCCGACAGCAGAAGGGTCGGCAGCATCGGCGGGACCAGTGGTGGCAGTGGCAGCAAAAGCAGCAGAAGCATTCGTATTTCGTCCTGAGGCTCCTGTGGGGGTGGTGCCTGCAGGAGGAGAGAAGGGAGGTGAGGAGGGGGCGGTGGCATGGCTTGGTGTGGGCGAAGGGAGAGTGAGGTTCAGACGGGAGCGCATGGGATGAGGGGCGGCAGAAGCGCCGGTGTGTAGCAGGCCGGAGGAGGAGGATGAGGAGGAGGAGGAGAGAGGGCAACTGTTGGTCGCTACAGGTGCAGTGATGGCATAGTCACAGCTGCTACCAGGGATAGCAGCACTGGCAGCAGCAGCAGCAGCAAGAGAAGCAGCAACTGCGGGTCCAAGCCTGCTGTGGCGAGCCGAGGGGTCGGTGTCAGAGTCAAACAAGTCAACCGAGGAGAGCACACCACTGGATGGTGCAGACCTGGTCGTGCCCGAACCAGCACCACACTCCACTGCTGCTCTTGATTCTGCACCTGCTGCAGCTGCTGAAGTAGAAGAGGCAGTTGCTGCTGCTGCAGCGGAAGGCACAGAGGAAGAAGACGCTTTCCGGTGGGGGAACATCAGGCCAGCCATTCTAGCTGTTGTGAAGTGTGAGGCACGCTTGCCCGATGCGGACACGGCTGCTGATGGGGAGTGCACCTCCTCAGGGATTGTTGAAGCACCTGAAACACTTGAAACAGCTGAAGAAGCAGCAACACTGGTTCCAAAACCACTGCTGCAACCACCAGCGGCAGCCACTGCAGCAGCATTAGAAATGCCCGACGCACCAGCAGGATAACTCCTGACCTTCAAACGGCCCGTTCCCTCCACACACCCGCCACCCTCTTCCTCCCCCCCGTCCGCGCTAACCAAGCCAGCAGGCTCGGGTGGGATCAACCCAGGAGGCTTGGGTGAAGAGAAACCAGCACGACTGGCTGGGGGGGACAAGGCAGAGGGCTGCAGGCGGAATTCGTCGCTGCACGCTGCGGCTGCGAGGGCGGCCTTGTGGGGGGAGAGGGGCACAGAGCGGGGGTCTGAGAGGGAGAGTGTGCGGTGGGAGGAGGCGACGAGGTGCTTCATCTTCCTGCTGCCCTGCTGTAGCACCATGATGTGCAGCCCGGGGGGGAGGTGCGATGCACAGTGTGACACCACTGCCGCCTCGCTTGACCCCCAGAGTTGCCGCCTGCGGGTGAGGAGAAGGGAGGGCGAGGTGGGTGAGGGAGGAGAAGATGTGTGGGCCAGGAGAGAGGAGTGCTGAATAAGCGGCTGGTTCAGGATGTGCGTGCATGCGCGTGCATGCGTGTGTCAGCATGTGGGTGCGTGTGTGTGTGTGTGTGTGTGTGTGTGCGCGCGCGTGCGTGTGTGTGTGTGTGTGCGCGCGTATGTGTGTGTGCATGGGTGCCGCGTAGTTCACATAAATGGGAGAATGACAAAAGGAGGGGGAATAACTGAGGAAGGGGATCCTTGAGAGGGCGAGCGTGAATGCAGGAGGCAGAGAGCTCACTTGCGCAGGCCTATGAAGAGGCAGGTGGCGTGGAATCGCCTCACTGCCATGCACAGGCCCCGCTCCCTGCTCTCACTCCTCTCCACGTGCACTATGGCCTTCACCTGCCATTGCCGGTAAATGCAGGGGTTCGGTTTGGGAGGTGTGGTGCGAAGTTATACATAACAACATATGCTTATCACTGATTTATCCAGCTGCTTTACAATCCGAGATTGTTACAACATTTCCCCCCATCTCTCGCCACCTGTGACAGGTGGGACAAGGGACTCCCATTTTAGACAAGGAACAGACTTGTGGATAAGATAATCGAGTTCGGGATGACGTGGAAGAATCCCGCCGACCATGATTTACCCAATCCTAACCAATCCCAACGTGCGCACACCCCCACACCCTGGCCCCTCTAGCAAACCATTTCCTCCGCCGCCCACCCACGGGTTTTTTACACTAGCGTACCTTTCGCGACCATGTGTGCTGCAGCGCCGCCTCGAGCCCAGCCCGGATTCGCGCGTCTTCCGCGTTGGCTTCCGCCCCCGCCGCAGCCAGCGCACTGGTAGGAGCTTCATCTGCGAAAGTGGGGGAAGGATTACGAGGATGGGGGATGAAGATTTTAACTATACGGCGCGATGAGGTGGATGCGATGCGGTAGTGGGGTCCGAGGAGAATGTCGCGGCGCTGTTATATTCAGGCCTAAGTGAATCTGCCTCCGTAGCAAGTGACGTCGACGGAAAATCGGACGCTTGCGACGATTCACGAAACCCGTTAACATTTCTCGTGGGTCGTGCTGTTACAGTGTACGGTTTCGATCGGCGTCGTTAACGGGGCGCGAAAAATGCGTTCGTTAGAACGACACTTCTTCCGCGTGGTGATTGTGATGGCTACGAGAAGTGTCAAAATTTCGCGAATATGGCAAGCAAAAGGATATCGAAAGTTAGAGAATCGTCACAAATCTCAGAAGTAATCAATAATTTATCGTAAACGCCAAAGTACGTCACAAGAAAACGATGACTGATGACTGTCGACGGCCTGCCGTTTACTCCTCCGCGGAGTACGCTTCTCGATGCATCAGCTGAAGGACCGTACTAACGCGGCACGTAGCCAGATCCAACGAACTGGTTCCCAGATCGAAGATTTACCGCATCAGTCCATCCACAGACACTCGGAGTGCATGGCCGCATGGCCGCATGGACGCACGCGCGCATAGGTGGACGATCACGTCCTCCCGAAGCGCGCTCGGAAAGACACGGCTTGGCGAAGACGGGTCGTGCGCATGGAGTGGCGATTTCGTGAAGAGGAACAGTTTGGAGATCAAAACGGAGAGGGGAGAGGGTGGGAATGGTGGGGAAGGGGGGAGAAGAGAGAGGGGTGGAGACAGGGGAAGCGGTGGAGATGGGAGGGAGCGGGGAGTACGTACCAGACGTATAGGATTCGAGTGAATGGGAGTCTTTCGAGGCGATAGAACACAGGATCAGTGTAACTGCCGCCGCCAGCTGCCCACCGCCGCCCTCGGAGTCACCGGCGCTTCCGCCGCTGACGCTGCTACTATTACTAGTACTACTGCTGCTGCTGTTACTATTACTGCTGCTGCTATTACTGCTGCTGCTATTACTGCTGCTGCTATCGCCGCTGCATCCGCCGCCAGTGGCGTTCAGGCTAGAGCCACTGGTAGCAGCGCCAGAGACGTACTGCTCCGCATGAGTGACGGCAGCGCGCACAGTCTCCTCAGCCAACTCGCGATTCCTCCCCACCTCCACCACCCACACCACGCTCGGCGCCTCCCACGCGCTCACAGGCCCCATCCTTGCGCGGTTATCAGGACCGGGAGTGGAGCCGCGCAAGATCGCGAATCGCCAGTCGCGAGTAGGACAAAATACGAATCTTACGGAGCTTTCAGACTCCGGAACGGTTGTGGAGTTGAATTTGTGACTCAACGGGAACGCGTGGGTGGACTGGCATGTAGAGGAAGGTGAAGGAGCTCTGTAACATGGGCCTAAATGGCTGGTGGGGAAAAAACGTCTCGACGCGTGGGATTTCTTCGATTCAAACAAAAATGGGAACGAATCATTGAGTCCTTGACGATTGATTGGGAGCCATTTCCAGATGAGGGACAAACCATGACGGACTTGAGTTGTATGGTTTCCCAATCAGGAACTCAGGTGCTCAGCACATCCCGCGCATTTTTGTGAGAGGAGCAGGATGCAGTTTTGTTGCAAAAAGCGCATACAGTCTGTCAAATGATTCGACGATTAGAATGCTCGTTAGTTGCTACGACGTGGCTTCTGGTTGGTTTTCCACAGATCTCTTCTGACCTTACTCAACCGCACTAAAGTCGACTCTTCTACGCACTTCACTTCACCCTGTGAAGCAGCCAATAGGCCAAAACTACCAGACCTGCAGCGGCAGCAGCAGAAGCTGTCGCAGGAGCAGCAGGCAACCATCAAGGCAGTGGCGCCTCGAGTCGCCTCGTCTCGTCGTCGTTTTGTGATGGTCGTCTGCTGACCGAAAGCCACACTCTGGTCTTGTTTCTTCCGGAAACTTGTTCTGGCTTTGTGGGCATGACAACTGAAAAACAAACCCTGAAATTGACGACAATGAGCACATACAAATCATAGTACGATGTACAGTAACTGAAAACCAGACACTGACGGATTGTACATGTGTAAAAGAAAAAATGGATGGAAAGTACCGACAACGCGACCACAAAAACCCAACTGCAGCTGTACATTTGTGTTCTTGGCAGCCCAGCACAATGGGCAGAGCTTTAGGGCGTGGGCCCAATCGAGTTTGATCGCGACTGATCTGATCGGGTTGCTGGTGATCGCAATGCCCCAGCCGCCCGATCAGTGATGTTTTTCGTAGAAGATTCTCCTCGGCTGCTCAGCAAGCGGGGTCCAATTACCTGGCATTTTCGGCCCAATTTTAGCGAGACTGGCGACCAGAAGGCTTCAGGCGAAAATCTTTGTATCCCAGTAATATCGTGAACCCCACTCCGCACGTGTTGTCCACTCTGGAATCTTCCAACAGGATACACCAGAAACACGCTGGCGCTGTATTCCAGGCATTCGATGCCGTCGGAAGAATGTGCAGAGAAGTTGCCAAAACGTTGACTTTTTAGGGGGCAGCCCAAACAAATGTTTCATCTCTGTCGATGCCGTCATAATGGCTTTGGCTGCAGAACATGCCTTTTGGCGACGGCATCAAAAGGGTTCGAAACCTCCCTGCGTTTTCCCTCTCAGGCAATTTGTGGTGCCTGTGCCACCCCGTGGCAAACCACCCGAGAGAGGTGGTTGGCCACGAGATGGCAGAGGCATCGGCCAGTTGGGAAAACCGCAATCTCACACTGCTGAAAAGAAAACAGCAACCAAAGGCGCCCTTGTAAAAAGAAACGTGCTTGACGACCAGGGTTTGTGGGGACCGGTTAGTTTTTCGTTTTCCGATCGCTTTTTACCCAACCCTGCCCCAGATTGCTGCTAAAATTTCTGCACGGCCCGTGACGAAACTGTTGGAACAGGGGGCGGAAGTCTCGCTTCTCAGGCTCCCGCTTTCCTCAGCAGAAATGCGAAATTTCCCAAACAGGGAAAGTGCTTCGAGCTGCAGAGGAAGTTTCTGGCGGCAGAAACTGATGCCGCTGCCATGCCAATGCCACCTGCCTGGAGAACAGCGCCACTGGACAGAACCACGCTAGGTTAGGAAGCGTCACTTTTGGACCACAGAGAAACACAATGGACCGAAACACACTCCCTTGGGCCTCACTACCAGAGCATCACAGAAAAACACAATGAACCGAAACACACTCCCTAGAATCAACATGGCTCAGGATTTCAGGAAGTTACCCAATTTATAGTCTGCAATTCAATCTGAAATTTGGCGCTACCCTAGATCACCCTGTCTAGGTTTCCGGGCTTTACGGGCAAACAGAGTTCTCCCGAAAGTCTCCCTGCCATGAGGGAGGGCTGGCTAAAACGGGTGCTACCACACATTACAAGCTCACATGACAAATTGTCAATTGCGAGAAGGAATGGTGCGAAAAGGTGCGGATTTCGGGGGAGAGGCGAGGGGTGCGGGTTTTTTATGGGTTATTTGTTCTGCAGACTTGTTTGTGGGGGTCGGTCTCAAAAGGTTTGGTCATTTGTCTTCGTGGTCAGAATGTGAAACGAGCAAAGACGAAGTGGTATGTTGCGGTTTTGGTGATCCGTAAACGGAACAGCCGGTTTACAGCAAAAAAAAAACATGGATACAGCAACCGTCCAAGCGTGATTTTTACTGGACACCCCCATCTGCGGGTGGCATTGGTGCTCGAATCTGTACAAGTCAAGTCGACGAAACCGCCGCTTAGAGATGGAGGGGTGCCTTGCCAAATCAGTTCCACTTGAAGAAGGGTTTTCAGCTTAGCGGGGAGAGGTACCTGGACCCCTCCGCTATCAGGGTAGGGGTAGCGCATTCTACGCATGGTTTCCGCAAAACGCTGGGCTAGGGGGGGACACTTATCGTTCAAGTAAGGGACTCGAGCTCTCAACGAGCCACGTGTTCCATCCTACACAGCTCGCTCACTGTACAACTACAATCTGAGATTCTGCACTGCAATAGCTTGTCTTTTCTACCGAACCCAGCCCACGTCCTGGGTGGCTCGAAAGCCACCTGTTCCGAAACCTGTGCGGCCCTACCGTTCGCGCCAATACAGTACAAGGTTCACTGAAAACGCACAGTAACTCCGTCAAAGTCCCCAACTGAAGGTTGTGGCACAGAGAAAAAACCAAACAAAATACAGAACAACCCGTTACTATAGGTCGACTTGAATGCACACAAAAATGAAAGAACGGATATCTTATGAGAGTGCCTAGGTCATGTTTTTAGATGTAGAACCTTGATTAGCGATGTTAACTTTTCTGATGCGTTTAGTATGGTATAACTGACCAGGTGGTGTATATATATGACAACTGATAAAAAAATACATTTGTTAATATCGTAGCTGTACTATCATAATGCTACTGTTCATAAGGTCCATGATATAATGCATAGAATTTCTCATCTTTGTGTGGTTGGATAAATTATTTGCAAGGAGATGTAGAACAATAATTTATCAAACCACACAAAGATGAGAAATTCTATGCATTATATCATGGACCTTATGAACGGTAGCAGTATGATAGTACAGCTACGATATTAACAAATGTATTTTTTTTTATCAGTTGTCATATATATACACCACCTGGTCAGTTATACCATACTAAACGCATAAGAAAAGTTAACATCGCTAATCAAGGTTCTACATCTAAAAACATGACCTAGGCACTCTCATAAGATATCCGTTCTTTCATTTTTGTGTGCATTCAAGTCGACCTATAGTAACGGGTTGTTCTGTATTTTGTTTGGTTTTTTCTCTGTGCCATAACCTTCAGTTGGGGACTTTGACGGAGTTACTGTGCGTTTTCAGTGAACCTTGTACTGTATTGGCGCGAACGGTAGGGCCGCACAGGTTTCGGAACAGGTGGCTTTCGAGCCACCCAGGACGTGGGCTGGGTTCGGTAGAAAAGACAAGCTATTGCAGTGCAGAATCTCAGATTGT